CAAAAAGTGCATCGCCTGAGACAAGACCAAACTGGGTAAATTGATTCTAAGTCTTAGGACTATTATTCTTGAAGGAAATAAACTACAGAGTTTTATTTTACTACAACTTTTTAAAACATAAAATTACAATAAGCTCTACTAATGGAAATAAAAGTGAAATTCGTACATTACTGAGTCTAAAAGCTGCCAAAAGAAAAGCTGATAGCTTTCCATCGAACTCTCAGTTGCTGCTCCAATAACTTTATTCTTCCATGTAAGTGTTTGAATAGCCAAAAGAAACAAATGGTAGATTATCTGAGAATCTCTCTAAGTGTTTAAGTTTAAAATTAAATTTAAAATAGCCAGCAATGTTCTGGCATTGGAGCAGTCGAGCAATAAAAACAAAAGTGCTTTATTTTTAATTACGATATCACCAGGTTTTTGCATGTTTCTCTTCTATCAGGCTCTATCAAAGAACTATATTACCCTGTTATTCTCGGGTTATTCTATTTTGAAATGGAGAAAATGTTAAAAAATTATTCTATAAGTACTGCTCTTTATTTTCTCAGTGTGCATTCCAGTTTATCGTACTTAAATCTATTCCTTCCTGTGCCATCTCAAATAGCGGCGATAGCTCTCTTAGCTTCTTTACCTTGCTGACAACCTGCTTCACCACTGCCTTTATGTCTTTCTTTGTTGTAAATCTTCCTATCCCGAATCTGAGAGAAGAGTGTGCTAAATCTTCCTCAACACCCAGAGCCTTGAGGACATAGGATGGCTCAAGAGAGGCTGAGGTGCATGCACTCCCGCTGCTGACTGCGATGTTTGGAAGAGCCATGATCAGAGACTCGCCCTCAACGTACGGGAAGGATATATTCACACATCCCGGGTAGACATTCTGTCCTCCATTTCTCTTTATATCTGGGATCTCTTTGGAAAGTCCATCTAGCAGCTGTTTTGACAATTTCTCTATTTTTTTAGTGTCTTTTTCCATTTGATTCTGTGCTATTTCACAGGCCTTTCCGAGCCCAACAATCAGAGGCGTTGGGAGTGTGCCGCTTCGCATTCCTCTTTCCTGCCCTCCCCCGCTGAAGAGTGGCTGGATCCTTGGCCTAGGCCTCTCTTTAGTTACATACAAAGCGCCAATTCCCATGGGGCCGTATATCTTGTGGCCTGATATGCTCATTAGGGAAATGTTCATATCTCTAACATCTATGGGGATCTTGCCAACAGCCTGTGCGGCATCTGTGTGGAAAAATACGTTATTTTCTTTGCAAACTTTTCCTATCTCCTTCAGAGGAGCTATGCTTCCTATTTCGTTGTTCACTGCTATGATGCTTGCAAGCACAGTTTCAGGTCTTATGGCTTTTCTCAGCTCTTCTACGCTGATTGTTCCGTTTTTATTCACAGGCAGATACGTTACATCGAACCCTTCTTCCTCCAGATCACGGCACGTGTCTATTACGCTCTTGTGCTCTATCTGGCTTGTCACAATGTGGGGCTTTCCCTCCATGTTCTGTTTCAAAAACCTTGCGACTCCTTTTATGGCGATATTGTTGCTTTCTGTTGCTCCGCTCGTAAAAACTATCTCTTTAGCGTCTGCGTTGATCAGAGACGCAATCTTTCCTCGTGAAGTTTCAACGGCTTTTTCTGCGTTCCATCCAAACTCGTGTGTGCGGCTGTGCGGGTTCCCAAACTTTTCGTTGAAGTACGGAAGCATTGCACTCAGCACCCTAGGGTCTGTTGGCGTTGTGGCCTGCAGATCCATGTATATGGGGGCTTTTGCTCCCATCCCCAGCCATTCTGTTATCTTTTTTGGCGCTTTCGCAATGGAGTGTATTAAAGACATGAAAAATTTTATGGTTACACTTCTATTTTTCATATAACCCGAGAAATAAAAGAAAATAAAACTCTTTATGGGCCCAATCATTCAATAATTGCAATTATTTTATACTTCACTATATATATAATTACAGCACAATAATCTTATTTTCTCCAGTAAAGAGGCTTAATACCATGCACAGCTAATAAGCATGGCAGTATATGCGATGTACAGCCTAAGAGAAATTAGCAACACTTTTCCCTCTTATTTTACCATTTACAGCATAGATGGATATTCGCAGATTCCATTGAGAGACAGAGACAGAATGAAAGTACAAACAGAGTAGATCTCTAAAGAGAACAAAGACAGATGGAAGATGGATGGTAAAACGAGTAATTTTTCCATAAAGCATCAAGATATGCAAAAATCAAAAGTTATTGCATGTGTGATTCTCTGGGCACAGATGAAAAAGAGCTGAAAATAAGAAAAGATACGCCTATTCAAAGACAGTCAGTGCTGTTTGAGCGAATAGTAGAACAGACCGTTTAAAAACTGCGCATAAATCTTCGCCACAGAATTGCAATAGAAAATAATTCATTGCTTAAATAAAACTTTGGCAGAATAAAAATATGTATACAGTCGGAGACAACACAGTGCATATAGCGGACATAGGATATGAAACATGCAAGGCAGGGTATGCAGGCGGAGAGCTTCCTTCAATTTTTGAGAAAAGAGGGAACAGATCGGACGAAAATGCTCTAACGAACACGCTGGAAGAGCTCACAGACGATCTATCATCCATTTCTCTAATCAACATAGAAGACCCGTTTGTATCAAAGGAGGCGCGCAAGAAGATGTTTTCACACATAATGGAGTCGTCTCTGTGCTCGGGAGTTTTGTTCATCAATGGAGCAGTAGCGGATTGTTTTAGCTATGGAAAAAGTGCTGGGCTGATGGTTCGACTGTGCGGCCGAAGCACGCAGGTCATCCCCGTTGTCGATGGATACTGCATCAGCGGAGGAATAAAAAGCTCGTGCGGAGGAGAAAGCCTTACGCAGTTCGCAAGAGATCTGCTGAAACAAAAATCAGCGCAGCTGGGGACAGATCTTCTGGTTCCCCCAACAGCAATTGAAGAAAGAACGCGCGTGTCATTTGAGCAGCTGCCAAGATTCAAAGAAAAAGCGTTTTACTCCACTCTTTCGGAGGAGAGCAAACTGCCATTTGAGATGGAGGTGGCAAAATGCTTCAAAGAGTCTATTTCCTTTATTGGGCACTGCCAGCCAAAGTATTATGAGTTTTCTACAGGGTTTTGCACGAGAATATTCTCTGAGAGGAACCTAGTACCTGAAAAACTTTTCGAGGGAACAGACTGCACCCTCGAGAGACTGGACCCCATGAAGCAGATGCCCGGCCCAATCGAGCCAATGGGGCTCCTGGAGATGATAAAAAGCGCAATGGACTCTGTAGACCTGGAGTACTACGACATGCTGCTCGGGAACGTGATGATATCGGGCGGAGGGTCGCTGATTCCGGGAATAACCGAAAGACTCCAGGCAGATCTCATGAAAATGTATCCAAACACCCGAATAAAGGTGAACAATGACAAAAGAGAGTTTGGCACATTCTTTGGAGGGTCTATTCTCGGCTCTCTGGGCGCCACAAGCACTCTGATGATAACAAAGGCAGAGTACGCAGAGAGTGGAGAGACCGCATTTGACAGAAAAAGGTCCGAGTGGATAAAATAGCATCAATAAACTATCTATGAACTAATGAAAACAGTCTTTCATTCCAGCACTAAAATTACTTATATCCAACATTTATTACACCTTCATTGCATCAGAGTTTGAACATTGTAGCTGTTTATTACGTTTCTCTCTTCGTACCAGTTATTCCTGGGCCATCTTTCCATACAAGGAAGTACTAAAAACTGTTCTGTACGGTTTAGATGGCTTTACAGCCCGAGAGTGAGCACAAGATGAAATGAAAAAACATACAATAAGCACAGTTATAGGACTACACAAGAGGCTAGAAGATAGTTTATCATTGCAGCAAAATGGCATTTCTTACATCTCTCAAGTTGTATAATTACAGACTAAATACACATAGAATCTACTCTCTAGAAAAGTTTTAGCGTGTAGCCAATAGTCACATCTTTATCTGCAGCCCATAAGCATCAAATATGATTATATTCTGTTCTACACTTGGGCAACCTGCAGTCCTTCGCTGCTTGATAGCTCAACTCTTTCTATAGGGCTTCTCCCCTTATTGTCTAATCTTGGGTTTTTTCCGTTCAAGCGGTACAGAAAAACGCAGTACCACAAAAAACTCACATTGTATATTATCCCAATGATGAAGTACTCTAAGTTGTCCAGAATATTCAGGGCCAAGTTTCTTACCGTTTCTGGCGTGTACTCAGTCGCTGTGATTATCTTGTACAGCTTTTCAGAGTCTGTTGCGTCTCTGTAGTATATGTTCAAGTGGAGCCTGATCTCTCCCGTTCGGAGGTATATAACGGCAACTCGAATCACATTCAAAAGATAGAAGATCCACACAAACCATTTCTGCTGGATGTACTGCTTATCTATCCACAGACAGTACCAGCCAATGCACGCAGTCACGCCGGTCCAGAACAAATTTGCAATTTGCGTGAAAGAGGAGTACTGGTTGGAGTATATCCACATAAACACTGTGAATATGCAGTGGTTGATGATAAGAAGAGAGCACCCCTCGAGCATGTAGTATATGGTGTAGTAGTTTATGGAGGCAGATATCATGCTGTCGCACACCTGCGTGTATCTCTCGTAGAAATACGCTCGAGATCTGAGGACCCACTGGAAGCTGATTATGATGCGCAGGATGTTGGAAAGGATGTAGAACACGTACAGAACCATGTCCATGTTTGGAATTGTGATTTTTTCTACAAAACTGTATCTTATTATCCGGGCCACGAGAATGGCAATGTACACGTAGAAAAAAGACAAAGTGCCTTTTAGGACAAAGTAGATGATAATCTGGAAATCAATGAAAGACTTGTAGATAACCTGCGACATCGTGTCGAATATAATGAACCTGAACTCAGCGTCATTCCCGTTCGCAGGAATTGAGGTGTAGTTGTACCGCAAACTAAGCACACTGATAATGGTGTAGAGTATGTTCAGAAAACTCGTAAAAAAGAAGTACTTCACAACGGACTTATTGAAGTACACCTTCTTCTCGTACAGACCTCCCATTGCGCTCGCCGATGCACTGAATTTATGCTTGAGAATTGGGTGATGGAGTGCAGCTGCATTCGAATCCTCGATTTTCTCTGTTTACTTTCCAGTCTTTCGACTGATCTCTCTCTAAATTGCAATTTGCACGGGCAGTCGATCATTCTATGCTGTATTTCTTATTTTTGTACCTTTTCACAGGCACTCCCTGATGCAATGACACTCTTCAGATATACTCAAGCTGGACAGTGGATATTCTCGGGTTATTCTCAGCTGTCATATATACTCTTGAGTTATTCTTGCGCTATTCTCAGATGAAGTGTGCAAGTTGTATTCTCGCGTTATAAGAATATTAAAAAGTACTAAGAATAGTGTGGAACATAAACACAATAGACACTGCAATAATCTCAACTAGGGCGAATATTACTGCACTAGACAATGATAGTACTGTCTATTTACAGCATGTAAAGAGTATAATAAAGAATAAAACAGTCTTACAACAACAGATCCCTATAGAGAATAAGCACACTAGATGCTATAGCCTACAGACAGTGCCAAATAGTACAATCAGCGCACAGAAGTTTGAACTAAAAAATTCTTTACAATGAAAACATTGGCACACAGTGAAATGAAAAAGCAATAATAGGTGAGAGAACTCAGAATCTGCACAAAAACACAGCACTACAACCACTAGCACAGCTATGTAAGCTACACGGCAGTTCAGTGCTGTAAGCCATCCATATCTCCCCTAGGCACACAACTCTCTTCTTTTCCTACTGCAGTAAGCATTTAGGCTACTTTTCTAATTAATATTTCTTCTTTTTGTAGCCTTGGGTTTGCATTTAATATTAATAATTTTTAACCCCTGCCCTAGGAATATGAGAGAAATACTATCAATCCACGTCGGACAGGGAGGAATACAAATAGGAAACGCAAACTGGGAGCTCTACTGCCTGGAGCACGGAATACTGCCAAATGGACAGGTAGACCCTAACTCAAACAAGTCCATTGAGTCTGCGTCTTCATTTTTTTCAGAAACAAGCACGGGAAATATGGTCCCCAGAGCACTCATGGTCGATCTGGAGCCAGGGGTCATTGACTCAATAAAAACCAGCGAGTACAAGGATCTCTTCCACCCCTCGCAGCTTATTTCCGGAAAGGAAGACGCAGCTAACAACTACGCAAGAGGACACTACACCATAGGAAAAGGGATGATAGAGCAGACAATTGAGCAAGTGCGAAGACTCGTGGACATCTGCGACTCTCCGCAGGGGTTCTTTATCTTCCACTCCTTTGGAGGAGGCACGGGCTCTGGGCTTGGCACTCTTATTATGGAGAGACTCTCGCAGATATACGAGAAAAAGAGCAAGCTTGAGTTTGCCATCTACCCTGCCCCCCAGGTGTCTAACTCTGTGGTGGAGCCGTACAACTCCGTGCTCACCACGCACATGACCCTCGAGCACGCAGACTGCACCTTTTTAGTGGACAATGAAGCTATATACGATATGTGCAAGGGCCTTGGAATCAACAGGCCAGGGTACGTCGATCTGAACAGAATCATTGCGCAGGTGGCCAGCTCCATCACAGCATCGCTTCGGTTCCCAGGCTCTCTGAACGTAGACCTGGCTGAGTTCCAGACCAATCTTGTGCCGTACCCAAGGATACACTTCCCGCTGATTGCATACTCTCCCATGGTCTCAGCCGTCAACGCAGCTCACGAGCAGCTCAGCGTCACTGAGATCACAACAGCGTGCTTTGAGCCCCAGAACCAGCTGGTGAAGTGCGATACGAGGCAAGGGAAGTACATTGCGTGCTGTCTTCTGTTCAGAGGAGACATCAACACAAAAGATGTTAACATTGCCACAAGCATTGTGAAGAGCAAGAAGGGAGGAAGATTCGTTGAGTGGTGCCCCACAGGATTCAAGATAGGAATAAACAATGAGCCTCCCACATCCCTCCCAGGCGGAGCACTGCCCCCGCTGAAGAGAGCTGTCTGTGCGCTCAGCAACACAACAGCTATCGTGGAGGCATGGAAGAGACTCAACACCAAGTTCGATCTTATGTACGGAAAGAGAGCATTTGTGCACTGGTACGTAGGCGAGGGCATGGAGGAAGGAGAGTTCAGCGAGGCAAGGGAAGATCTTGCCACTCTGGAGGCAGACTACTACGATCTCTCTGGCGAAATGATACTTGGATAATAAAACATCTATCGAATTGTTTGTGGTTTATTGCTTGTGCATCCTGTGTTTTGTTCTGTTGCGCTGTAATTGGTTTAAGTAGCCCGTAAATCTGTTCTCTGCGCTTTATTCTTGAATTACTCTCTTTCTGCTCTGTTTATGATTGTAGTTGATTGCTCTGTCGTAGACACTTACGCTCCTCACTGCGCAAATGATGGCAGATCGATATCCAAGTTAATTTGTTATGGTAAATTGACCTTATAGGGCAAGATGCAATATTATTCTGGTTAAATAGTAGATGCATTAATCTTTAGCGCAGCATTTACAGTACAGCTAGTGCAGAAAAGTAAATTGCAGCTATGCTACTATGCTAATGTTCTAACACTATTAGAAGTATTTCAGTTCTTGTATTTATTTTGCAGTTTTTAGAGTATGCATTAATAGACTGAAGAGAAGCAAAGACACTCACTGAATGATTATCTCTTGTCTTCTTTCTAACATTATCTATTCTGTGGAGGAATAACAGCTGTTTTTGGAAATTACTGATAAACAGGAAGAAAAAGAGAAACAAATTGAATGGAAAGGAATAGAATATATCGGAAGATAATGCTGGATGCACTTTCAGTGATAGTGTGCTGCTTCTGCTCCTCTATTTCTCTTTTTTTCCCTTTTTTACTGGTTTTTGCTCGAATGGCTTTTCTTTTCTTTTTTCTCTTTCAAATATTTTTTTATTTCTTCCTCCCTGCAGATGGCAAATATAGTATCAGAGAACAAAGTAATAGTTCTTACAGTGAATCTGTGGAAACTTGTAAAGGGATGCTCCCAAAAGAGATGGGCTGACTGCGCTGTCAGAAATTTGAAAAGACACATCCAGAAACAGTTCAAGACACAGATGGACGTAAAAATAGACATGGATTTAAACAAAGCCATTTGGTCCAGAGGAAAAAAGCAGCTTCCAACTAGAATTAGAATAGAAGTAGGAAAAAGACCCGCATTCAAAGACAACGCAAAGACCGAGCTTTTTGTCAAGCACGTTTTTGTGCCAACCTTCAAGGGCCTGCAATCTGAAAGCTTTATTACACAAACCGATCAATAAATGATTTATTCTTATCCCTATCTTCCTCTAGCAAAGGTTTTAAAGTCTGCTCTATGAGTTAGCGTAAATACTTTCTCTATCCAGTGCTCTATCTGCTCTCTTTATCAGCCTCTTGTGCACTGCGGTTTCTCTTCAGAGTCTGCAGATTTTCCATCTTTTATCTTAATGTTCTCCTCAGAGTTACCGTGCTCTATTGAAACACCCTCGCACTCTTCTTCTTTTTTTTCAGCACTTTTGCTGTTTTCCTGGCCCTCAGAGGAGACTTGCTTTCTTTCTGGGAGGTGCATCTTCAGCGACAGGTCCCAGTCCTTTGTCTCAGTGTATGTCTGCAGTATACTAAATACATGAAGAGTGCTCAGCACCTTGGAGCAGCTTAGCTTCTGCGTTATGGGCAGCTTTGCCGTTGTAAACTTGTCTTTGAATAGATTCTCAAGATATCCCTTGTGTCTATTCCTGTCCACCAGCCCTCCTATTACGTATACTGTACCTTCTTTCATTTCGCTGATTGTATTTGGCGAGTCTGCAGACAAAATGACTATGTCCTCTGTTTTCATCTCTGCAACAGACTCATTTTTAAATTCAATATTTGTCCAGTTGGCTACATCATTTCTTGCGTATCCCTCGAGCAGTGATGCGTTGCTTACCATCAGCTGCACAGGCTTCTGCGCTACTCTGTTCGCAGCATAGACATATCTGATCTGCTCGCACAGACTTCTCATCTCTTTCTCTGACATCAGATCGCGCCCGCCCAGCACTTCAATGCACACTCTGTAGTTCGATATTTCCTGGTCCTCTGGCGCTCTTTTCCTTCTTGTTCTTTTGGTTTTTTTCTGTTTATACTTCTCCTTCAGCCTTTGGTACTTCTGCTCTTTTTTTTCTTTCTTGCTCAGTCTTGCCGCTTTCTCTACCACTTGCTCTTCCATTTGCAAAATCTTTTCTTTTCGATTCCACTCTCATTTTACTCTGCTCCCCGCACACTCGGCACTTCTTGTGCAGATACATTCCATCCTTCTCTTTCTCCATTCTGCTGGTGCATGTAACGCCTGGGATCAGCAGAGTGTTGCACGGGCAAATGACTCTCTTTATCTCAAAGGTGAGTTTGACAATCTTTTTGTTGTGCAGTTTCTTCAGCGTTCTGACTATCCGCGCAGATGCCTCTGGGCACACCGTCAGAAGATGCAGCGCAAGATTCAAGTCTCTTTCTCCTATGTCTCCGGCTGCTCTATACATTTATTTTATTTTTATTTGTCGGGAAAATGGAAAACACTCTACAAGACGTATTTGATGTATTCGCAGACCACACTGTGCCAAACTCCATCAGACGGGAGAACGTTCTGCCCATGCTCCAGGCACTCGGATATATCGTGCTCAGCGAAGACGTAGACAACGCTCTTCCCCTGGGAAAGGATCTCTTCACTTTTTCAGAAATACAGGAAATTCTATCTAATGACGCCTTTTCTTCCATATCCAAAGAGGACGTGGCAAAAGCCTTCGAAGTTTTTGACAGCAAAAAGACGGGGAAAATGAGCGTAAGCGCGCTCAAGAGCATACTGCAGACAGGGCCCTACAGGCTGGACCAAGAGGAGATCGATGCGTGTCTGGACATCCTAAACCCCAGCCCAGAAGGCGTGATTGAGTACATAAAAAACACAAGCCTTTCGAGCCTTTAAGCAGGTGCAGAAGGGTATAGTGAAACAAAGACGAAATGCGTGCTGCTGCTCCTTTACTCCAGAAAAATTTTGATATTTTAATTTAACAATATTTTGTAAAAATTTATAAATTCGCCCAGAGAGCAGAAGAATAAAAAGACAAATTTCGTAAAATTATTTATTTTTCTTTTCTTTCCAGAGCGTTCTTCCATACTGTATTTTTTAAATCCATTTTCGCGCAAATTAAAAACCAAACATTATGCTCAAACTAGACAAGACTAGACCGCTCCATGCATTTTATTATTTTATTAGACTAAAAAAATAGAAAATTAATTTTTGAAAGGAACCCCTTGTTGCAATATGATCATATAATTTTTTAGTAAAAAGTTTTATATCTACGGATGGACAACGATACTAAGATTAATCCTGCACAAGAAAGCTGGAAAGATCTGCCGGGAATGGAAAGTGTCCCACAGATGCCCAGAAAAACATCCATGGATCTCTACACACGGCTTCTCTTGGACAACGAAGCCTCTTGGATTGCTATGGCGAATTTATTCAGAGAGTGCAACATGGAAAAGAATATTTGTTTTGCATACGAAAAAGCGCTGGCCAACAACCCTCTCTCAAGAGACGCGCTCGCAATGCTGGGGCCCATCTACATAAGAAGAAGAGAGTTCATGAAAGCGCTGGACGTGTTTCTCCGTTTGTACAAACTGTCGCATGGAGAAGATATACAAATAGCCATTAACATCGCATACTGCTATCTCATGCTCGACCGTTTTTTGGAGAGTTTGGCGTGGTACAAAATGGTATCTAAAAACGCCTCCCAAATCAAAGAGAGGAAAGGATTTTTGTGGTACGGCGTTGGCGTGTTCTACGAAAGAATAAATAATTTGCAAATCGCAGAAGAAGCGTACGCGGCTTCCATTAAAATAGACCACACATCTGAGTACATACCAGAGGTTTATTTTAGGCTTGGAGTAACGTACAAGAAAAAGGGCGCACTAACCGCTGCCATGGACTGCTTTGAGTATCTTCTTCACAACATTTCATCAAAAAGCCACAACCCCACAAAGGACGACGTTCTGGTGCAGATAGCACACGCCAACGAGCTGCACTCCAGAGAGTCAGAGGCCATTGACATCCTCAAGGGCGTAACACAGCTGAATCCTCGGCACGAGAAAGCATCGATGCTTCTTGCGTGGCTGTACTACAAGGAGCGCAACTGGCTGAGCGCCAGGGATGTTCTGAAGTCGCACCGCCCTGAAGCTCTTTCTGCTTTTTCCTGGTATCTCTTGGCTCGAACAGAACAAAAGCTGGAGAACTACGAAGACGCGTACCGGTGCTACCACTATGCGCTAAAGCAGGACAGCCAAAACCACATATACTGGAACAGTCTGGGAGTGCTCTACTTCAATCTTTCGCAGTTTGAAGATGCAATGCGGTCTTTCAAGGAAGCAAGAAAACACAACCCAGGATACATAGAAGCAGTGTACAATCTAGGCGTGGTGTACGAGCAGTTTGAAAGCGCTTTGGGAAGTGCTCTGGAAATATACGAAGAAGCAATATCCATATTCCCGGAAGACAGGCTGGTGCTGGAGAGAATAGAAGAGCTGGAAGAGAGGAACTCTGGAAATATCTCAGAGGAGAAATATTGTGCGCCCGAGCTGCCCCTTCGTGACGTTCTCCCCAATCCAGGGAAAACGCCGTATTTTCTGGCGCACGCTCTTTTAGGATACAGGCCAACTGGATTTATTTTTTCAGCTGCTGAAAAAGAGGAAATTGAGAATCTCGCTGACGTTCTCCACTCGGAGTCAGACTACACCCAAGAAACAGACGAAAAAGAATAATCATGCAAATAATTATATTAGCGATGCTTTTATTAGAGATTGTGCTCACAATGCAAAATAAAATGATTGACGTACTGGTTTTTATTTGTTAGAGCTGCTGGAATGGCACTAGATCGTATTTTGTTTCTATGGAGGACAGCACGCGCTGCTAGAACATAATCGCAAGAGATTCACTGTGTTTGGCGAGTCTTTTCCAAGCACCTGTCCTAAACTGAACACTCGTTTCTTAATTAGCTGAATTTTCGTTCTGAATAAATCAAATAGAGAAAATTAAAATATTCCTACACTTTATATCTGTCTCCCGTGGCCCTCTGCAAGTATTGTGCATTAGCAGAAAACCATGCAGTGAATTATTTTTATTGAATTTAAGAAATTAATTAGCTCAGAAAACATTTGTTTGCTAGACCAGAAGTCTGAAAACAGTAAAAAAGCATTGGAAACAGTAGATGAATAATAGATGAAGGTTAATTACTACTTCTGGTAATTTTAGTGCACTTTTTAGATGCGAAACAAGGATTTTTTTAATTGACTATTTATACATTAATTGAGCGTACATATTATAATTTACACCGTATTAGCGTATATTTTTATTGCTTGCTGCACAGGAATTAATTCTCTTGTCTCTCCATTATTTATTATGGATAATTAGATATTTAATTTAGTGGCGTCGGTCATATAGTGTTTTTCTATTAGTACACTCCACAATTTTTCAAGTGTTTACTGCAATGGGCCTAACAAAAAGAGAAATCTTGGACAGAACCCACAGATCAGAAAGCGCAAAACAAAGCGCATCTATATTCAGAGAAAATAACAAATGCAATCTTGAAGAAATCCATAAAGAGTGGGGAGACAGGCTCGTAAAAGAACTTCAGATATTTACGCTGCAGGAGAACTACGGTCAGTTCAAGGAAAAAGAAGAGATCATACAGGGCAACCCTGCATGGCACGTGTCTATGCCCTACGAAAGACTCGCTTATTTTCAAAAAGCCATTTTAGAGAGAAAAGACAAAAACTACGCTCCCATTATCCCAAAACTCGCCATGCTTATAGAGGTAGTAAGCGTGTACGAGCAAGAGAACGAAACAGAAGTTGACTGGGACCTGATTATTCTCCCAAAGCTCATAGACATCTTTGATGAGTACAATCTCGCCTGGTTCTGGCAGATCCCCTTCTGTTTTGATTTCTACGACATGCGATCGTGGAGCATTTCCGTGGCATACGATGTGGTCACAAAAAAAATCCCATGGCATGCAGCTGTCAAGCTGATAAAAAGGAAAAAAGTGCATAAAACCCTTACCGAGCAGCTAGACGAGTCTGCACAGGACACCGAGCTGCTGATATCTCTGAGCACAGAAATAGATCTACAGCGGCTTGCAGAAGAATCACTCCACAATCCAAAGGCGATGAAGCATTTGTCTTTCTGCACATTCTGCAACAAAAAAGGCCATATTGCAGACGGGTGCAACTCGCAGAAGAAAAAAGCAAGACAGCAGGGAACAGAGTATTCTCTTCTCCAAGTGGCATCAAATATACCGAAAGTGGTAAATTCATCTGCGATTTACAAAACAATAACCATTGCAGGAAATGCTCTAACGGGAAGACACAGCACAGGATCTGACATAAACATAGTGGACTGGAAAATATACCATAGCATTGCAACAAAAACACCGTCGTTCAAAATAAAGTTCCATAGCTATATTATAAAAGACCCTATGGGCACAGTCATCCCGTCCACCTGGTACGTAGAGGCGCAGGTTATGTACCACAGCAAGCACATAGGAGTGCACAAATTCTACGTGATTGACATTGATCAGCCAATTGAGACAATATTCGGTCTGTCTCTTATCCAGGCATGCGCACAGATAGAAAACAGCACCCTTGAAGGAGCGCTGCCAAAGAAGAAAAAGATGCCCTATGCGTCTAAACTGGCGTAGTAAAATAAACTTATGGGTTATATGCACTGAAGTAATAGTTACTATTTGTTTCTAACTATTTTAACGGTTTAGCAAAAGTATTTTTCAGAATTAGCAAGCTTTTCTAAACTGCCAATTGTTCTCCTAACTGCCTACTGAACTGCACTGATTGGGCAGATTAGAGTAAACGCGGTTGGGTGGAGTGCAAGTAAAAACTTAAATTCATTTTATTCATTCGTCGTCAGAATCCTCTAATTTCTGTTTTTCGGTTATGGCTTTTGTGAGAGCCTCAAGTGTGATGTACTTTATTTGCGAGCCCACTGCCCTCTGTATGGCTAGCAGATCGCTTCTGTCTTTCTCCCCCGTTATGAACGTAATGGACACACCTGCTCTGTTAAATCTTCCTGTTCTTCCAATTCTATGCACGTATGTTTCAATGTCTGGCCCTCCTGTTATTTTCTTTGGCATATCGTAGTTAACTGCCAAATTCAGCTGGGGCACATCAAGGCCTCTGCTGAGCACATTTGTCGTCACAAGAACTTTTATCTCTCCTTTCTTGAAGCGCGAAATAACTTCATCTCTGTCGGACTTTGTCAGCTGGCCGTGGAGCAGCTCCGAGTCAAATCCGTCTTTCTTCAGGTCTCTCTGCACATCTGCTGCCTTATCTCTCGAGTGCACGAATATTATAGACTGGCCCACAGAGATCAGCTCGTACAGCTTTCTAAGAGTTTCCTGTTTTTTGTTCTCAGACACCTCCATGTAAAACTGTGTTATATTTGCAGGCTTGATACTTGACTCTTCGAGATACCATGTTTTCACTTTCTTTGATAGCACTGCAATTGCCTCCTTCATTCTGCTGCTGAAAGTGGCGCTGAACAAGACGAGCTGTTTGTTTCGTATCTTGTTCACCACTGAAACTGTCTGTGCTCCCATGTCTTCCTCCAGCAGAGCATCTGCCTCGTCTAGAATAACCATCTTTACATTGTTTATATTTTTGAAGTCTCTGAGTATTTTTTTAATGGTCCCTGGGGATCCGACTATTATCTGCTCTGTTATTTCAGGTTCTGCTCTCTCTTCTATGATATCAGGCAGAGCCTGCAGGGATGTGAAGTCTATTGTTTCTTTGAACTTCTCCAGCACAGCAGATATTTGCTTGCTCAGATCTCTTGTGGGCGTAATAATAATTATTTGCGGACACTTTGTCTCTATATCCAGGACGGACAGAGCTCCCACAAGGAACGCAATGGTCTTTCCCGATCCACTGTGGCTCTGGAATGCTACGTCGTCTCCTTTGGCTATTTCTGGTATTGACTTCTGCTGGATCGCGCTGGGGTTTTTGAAATCCAGCGATCGCAGTGCTTTTATGATGTTTTCGGGAATGCTCAGATCTTCAAAACTGTTTTTTGAAAGAAGCTCGCTTGAGAGCAATGAGTTTTTGTACTCCTCTGCGCTTGAATTCTCTTTTTTGGAGACCTCCATTTGGTTGATCATCTCCAGAGCAAATCTTACGTCGTCTGGCAGGTCCATCCCTCTGCTTCTGTTCGAGTCTTCTGGCACAAGATCCAAGTTATCATCCTCCTTCTTATTATGCATTTACGACTGAAAATAAAAATAAATTTAATTATGTTCACTTTTTTATTTGTTCATTGGCTCTGCTACAGTATTTGTTCCATCTGCACAAAATAAAACTATTTTTCTATTTTACAGACTCTTGCAAGAAAACGTGCGATCTAATGAATGCATAAATGGCACTGACACACTGATCTAAACCAAAGAAGAGTTAGACAATGCTTTTTGTACTTTAGAGAAATGTCTAATAAGTTATATAAATGCCGATATGTTTGCTGTCTATTTATTTTTCTATGTGTGGATGGCGGCTCTTCTAAACGGGCCTCTATAAGCTATAGTTAGCTTGTGTGTTCTACTAGGATCGCAGATAGCGTCATCTACTTCCTAATATAGTATTTTTGGTCAAGCTCTATGATTTTTCTTTCGTAGATAAGAATGTCCAGGATCCTTTTCACGTCTTCCAAGCTTAGCATCACCGATGATATCTCAGCGCGCAGCAGGAACGCGTGCACATGCTTCAGATCCGGGAGCGCGTCAAAGGCGGGGAGCCCGCTGCCTGCCGTGCTGTTGAGTATCCACTCGTATGCTACGCTTTTTATCGCATCCACAAAGCCCGTATCTAGCTCCGCATCCGGCGTAAACCACGGGCCATCTCCCAGCTCATCTGATGGCACTGCATCGTACAGCATGTACACTTTTCTGTTCTGTTTGATCGACTTTACCGACTTTATCAGAAGGCGCTGCTCCAGGGTTTTGAGCAGCTTTGTGACAAGGTTTTGGTGGAGACCGCTTTTCACGCGGATGTCTTTTATCCAGACGCCCTCCACCCCTGCTTCTTTCACCAAGAGGTAGATGATCTTTTCCTCCGCGGTTGAAAAAGACTGCGGCTCGCGGTTTCTTCGATAAAATATCCCAGATTTTGTGCGGAAAACATCCACCAAAGAATCTGTGTGCAGGTTGTTGAGCTCAGAAACTATTTCCTGGAGTGTCATTTCTTTAAATTCATCCTGTATTTCCTGTGTGCTCACCCCAGACTCTTTTGAAGAAATAAAGTCTAATATGCTGCGCATGTCTGAAAAATTTTATGGTAAGAAATATATCTTGGTACATATACGAATTCAAAGCATACACCAAAGAAAGATGGGTTGGCAGAAAATTGGTAGACGTTCTCTCATCCGAGTTCAAAAGAAGAAGTCCCGTCTATTTCAGGAAGGCAGTCCTCTCCGGATCTATTGAAATAAACGGCTGCAGAGTGTCTGAAGAGTACTCTCTGAAACAGGGCGACTTGATCACGCACAAAACACACAGACACGAGCCCCCCATTCCCACAGATGAAATAAGCACAGTATTTGAAAACCAGGATATAATAGTCGTTGACAAGCCCTCTGGGATTCCGTGCCACCCAAACAGTGCGTACAATAAAAACAGTTTGACTGAAATCTTGAAATCGCAGCACAGCCTAAGATTCGTGTCTGCTCTGAACAGGCTGGACAAACAGACCTCAGGAGTTGTGATTCTCGCAAAGTCCTCAGAGGCTGCAGTGAAGTACCACAAAAAAATTGAGGAAAAAGAGGGGTTTAAGATATATCTGTGCCGAGTGAAAAGAGGATTCCCAGAGCGCGAAGTCATTGTCAATCTTCCCCTCTCTATTTCCCGCAAAAGATGCATCACCACTATTTTTGAAAAAGATGGAGTTTTCCAGGGAAAGAAAAGCACCACAATATTCAGAAAAATAGGAGAAGCTGGGGAAGAGGACATTCTAGCATGCGGGCTGGTGACAGGAAGAACCCACCAGATTAGAGTGCACCTACAGGCAATAGGATATCCTATCGTTGATGATATGGTGTACAGCCAACCGTACATAGAGCCTTCTCTGTTCTGCAAGAGTATACAGAATCTCACAGAAAAAAGAAGAGCATCATATGAGAATAAAGATGAGAACATGCACAGCACTGAAATAAAAAATGAAAATAGTGTAAGCACAGATGCACCTTCTATTGAGATAACAGAGGAAGTGTATTTGGATATAGCCAAAGAAGCCTCTCTGAAGCTGGAATTCGAGACAATCGAGCAGCTTATCTCAACTGAAGAGTGCCGAACCGATGATTTCCAGGACAATGATCTGTATCTCAGCGGGCTCTCTACTGAAAACATTTCACAGTTTATCACAGACTCTTGCATGTACTGCAGGAACGCTGAATCACTTGTGGTCATGCCCAAATTCTCCACGCTATCTCTGCATGCCTGGAAGTACACACTCGATGAGCATGTGTTTAAAACAATGCTGCCCGAGTGGTGTGTGCAGGAGATAGACGAGACTATCTGCGCAGAAATAGAGAGAACAAAAACAAGAATTACCGGAGTGTAAAAATTATAAGCATACTTAAAGTAGTAATGAACACCTAGAAAAATATTATCATGTAGAGAAGCATAGTTGTGCGCTTAATAAAAATAAAATAGACAAGAAGTATTTCAGTTTTTCTCTTATGAAAGAATATTATAGCTGCTAAGAAAACAAAGAGGTATGTACAGTATTTATTAATAACCCTATGTGAACAGACGATATAATATGATTGTTTAGCCCAAAGAAAGAGCTACTGGTTAAAGTTTGGAAAGCTTTTCTGTATCTGCATGAAGCTATTGGGGCTAAAGGGCTTAAACATCGTGTCCACTGCCATGGGAAGCCCCATTATCAAATGGATTTTTCTTTTGCAAAATGGACAACACGGGTTCTTTTTCCTAGAAAATGCTTCTGTGATGCATCCGATGTGGAAGACGCTTCCGCACGCAAGGATTATTACCTGGTCTTGAGAACCTTCGCTAAATTTACTCCTGCAGATTAAACAGTCAGACAGTATGTCTTTAGAGTGCTTGGTGTACCACTTGTGCACTGTTTTTTCTGGGAGGATGAACACAATTCCTGCGTTTATGGACACATTCTCTGCCTGTTTAAACGTGTATGTGTTTTGGTCTACATACGAAGAGCCCGAGGGACAGTAGAAGTTGTTGTATTTTACCTGCACTAGGCTCATTTTTTCATTAATGAACTCAAAATCCTGTCTTGTGATGCGGCTGTTTTTTATGGTTACTTCAGACAGTATAGGAAAAATATTCCGATTTATCAAATGTGTGATCTTTGGGATGTATCTTGTCTGCTGGCCATCCATAGGCATAAAGTCCAATAGGAGCTTTTTGATCCCTGAAAAAGTAATGCGCTGCAGTCCCTCAACGATCTTTTTCTGGAAGGTAGATGTGATTGATAGCTCTTTTAGGTATTTAAACATGCCATCGCCCTGTTTGCTGATGATCCACAAAAACTCCTCTATCTCCAGACCGATCGTCTCCTTGTATGACAGCTCTTTTAGGATAAGCGACTCAACTCTGAGATTCTCGATCATGCTGCTCAGGACCTCCTCTGATATTGGCATCTCTGGATACATGCACAGAGAAAGAATGTCGCGTGCTATTAAAGAGCTGAAGAAAGCACAGATAAATTTTTTTGTGGTAATTGTGCTGTGCACAGAGAGCTTGATTTCGCATTTTATAATGTCCAAGTTAAAAATGTGGTAGAGGGCATTCCACTTTTCAACGTTGATTTCCCTGGGTGTATCACCCACTTCAATGTACAAATGCGTTATTCGAGTGTTTGCGCATGGGATGTACCTCAGCAGTTCACTGATTATCATATGAGTGTGCACGATAATCTGCTCTTTCTTGTGCAAATTCGCATCAAACTGTTTTGGCCTGATCACAAAGGCACCGGCAAGCAGCGGAAAGGCAGGGTCTATGTAGCAGTCTATTGGGTGCATCAGGTGCATAGCCCAGATCTTTATCTCATCGCACAAAACGCGGGAAAAAAAGGGAATGTTTTTGTAGTATGTGAAATAGAGAAATCTTTTTTCAGTTGCGATCTTCTGCAGGGACTTCAGCATAGACACCACTAGGTTCTCTCCTCTTTTTGCAACAAACTTCACAATGTATTTCAGCATTTTGAACCAGGAAAAAAGCTTTGCTTTGACGCCTAGTATCTCTTGCACAGTCTGCTCCATGCGCTTTAGGCTGACAATTGAGTTAGCCAGCCCAAGCGACAGACTTTTATCGTGAAACTTAACTATGTCCAGAAGCATATCTAGTATTTCGACTGAGATGTATCCCATCCTTATCTCGTCCTCGCTTCTCTCCTGCAGTGTGCTCAGTATTTTCTGGCACACATCTGCACCTTTTTCCACAAATAGCCCGGAGCCAACTATTGTTTCTCCAAACTCATACACAGACAGCTCCTTAAGAAATGCGCAAAAACAGTGCAAAACCTCTGGGTATTTGGTGTTTAGCAGTTTTTCGTATTTTTGGAATAGAAGCTGGCTCGATACCTTTGCATATGAAAACGTGCTGTCCTCTTCTCCGCTTTGCTCACCTTCTTTAATGTAATCCACACTATCTCTCACGAAGACAATGTCTTCTGCTACCAGGAGAAGAATGGCGATCTCTTTCTGCCCAATCTGATCTTTGGATAGCAAGGAAAAGCAGGCATCTTCAAAAGTCATGCGCCCTTCTCTTATCTTTTGCTTAATGTTTTCTAATCTCCTTCTATCGACCATATACTTTTATTTTTTTAATTTTTCCTATTTAAATTTCAAACTTATTTTTTAGCCAGAGTATGCAAGTAGAGTACGCATCAGAAAGAATAGAAGAGCTTTCAAAGTCAATAGAGCCTGCAGAAAGCTGCAATCTGCGCTACCACACAAAGCCACTGCGAACCGTCAAGTTCAACCCAGATGGCGATCTACTCTTCTCCTCCTGCACGAACGGATGGCTTGCTGTCTGGAGAGTGTCGAATGGCGAGAGAATAGGAAAGTACGTAGGACACACAGGAGCCATTGTTGGCTTTGACATAAACAAAGAAGGAACCAAAATAGCAACAGGAGGAGCAGATATGAGGTCAAATATCTACGATATCGAAACAGGAAAACAGCTTTTTTCGTTTGATACGGTAGTAACCACTAAAGATGTCTCTTTTACAGCAGACAGCAGGAGATTAGTGCTCTGCACCGATGCCATAATGGGGCAAAAGCCCAAAGTGTGGGTGTATGATGTGGCCAGCGGCGAGCTGATAAAAAACATAGAAACACAGACCATCCCAACTGCCATCAGAGCCACGCTAGATGAGAAGATAATATACGGAGACACCGAAGGGAATGTGACCCTTATCGACGAGAGATCTTTTGATCTGATATCCTCTAAAAAAATGCACCAGTCCAAAATCAAGTCGCTGACACCGTCATTCTGCAATACTTACTTTGTCTCAGCATCAACGGACTTTAAGAGCAAAATAATCAGAGCAGACAACAATAAAGTCGCAGCAGTGCGAGAGTTTCTATCAGACTCTCCTAATAACGCTGCGAGAGTCTCGCCTGACAACAGAATGCTTATTTCTGCAGGAGGAGTGGATGCGAGAGATGTAACCACGTCAACAGGGCAGGGTAACTTCAATGTAGAGATCTTTGACTGCGCAACCTCCAAACTGGTGGGATACTACAAGACACACTTTGGTACTGTCAACACGCTAGACATCCATCCTTCTGGAGGCGTTATGGCATCTGGCGGAGAGGATGGAGTTCTCTATTTGCTAAAAATGGACGACAGTGCTTTTGTCAATGCATCCTTTGTTCCCATAAAAGGATCCGAAATATAATCTAGAAATAATAAATATGCTTTTATAAGAATTCTCCAGGTCTTGAGGCTCTGGATGTTTTCCTTCTTATTTGCTCCTGGATGAATGAAGTTAAAGAAAAAATGTTGTGATGCTTGGCACGCACCTCTATTAAGGATGCGCTTCCTTGATCACGTGGTTTTATGTGTCTCTATCTGGCGGACAGTGCAATTAAGAAGCCCGTGGCGAAAGAGAGTTTTTTGAATCCTGGGGGTACAAAAAAAAGAAAATATATAAAATTTTTACAAGCGTTAATGAGAATACAAAAATGCTATTTTTGCTCGGCCAGCATATATCCCGGCCACGGGTCCATGTTCGTGCGTAACGACGGCGCTGAGTTTAGATTCTGCCGCTCCAAGTGTGTGAAAAACTTCAAGCTGAAGAGAAACCCCAGAAGAGTTGCATGGACAAAGACGTACAGAAAAGTCCGAGGAAAAGATCTGGTCAACGACACGTCCCAGGAGTTCGAAAAGAGAATACACGAGCCAATCATCTACAACAAAGAGGTGTACGAGAAGGTTATCCAAAGCATGCCCAAAATAGCCGAAATAAGACACAGCCGAGAGGCATTCTTTATTAAGAACAGAATACTCACAGGAAAAGAAAAGCTGGTTGAGAATGAAAGAATCTTCATCGTCAAGAACGTTGATGCGTTGACAGAAGACGAGAGAATGAGAGAGAACTTGGAAAGAAAGAGAAAAATCAGAGAAGCTCTGAAGCTGCCATTCGAATAAAAATAGAATAAATTATTCATTAAGCTATTGTTTGAATGTGCTCTTGGACAGAGTGTTTACTATTTTTGCTAGCTTAGCATATGATCCTATTTAACCGCTATAAAACAGACAAGGAACAGTCTTGTAATCTGTGGTGTCTTCGTGCTTGCAAGTCTGGTGTAATAGAACTCTTCGATTAAATCCAGATCAGACAATGGATGTTTACTGTTTCCCTTATCTATAGTGTTTTTGTACTACCTCAAAATGTGTTGATTTGTGCTCATGTTTTGTATACGTGGTGTATTCTACTAGTGCACCATATAATCTAGTGGATATGCTAACAATACACCTACACAGTGAATGTGTGATATTTCATTCCTATTGTGAGATATAATCATGCAGTTGTGAGTGATCTATGCATAATCAAGCTTATCCTCTGCTTCCAGTGAACAAATTATTTCTATTCTTGATAATTTTTATTTGTATGGTTTAAAAACAAGAAATATAAAGGGGTAAAAAGTACTTATAGACACACAAAAAAATATTTTAATGAAAAGTTTTGCGACATGCTGTACAATTCTTGGAGGATTTATTCTTAGTTTTGGGCTTCTCTCTCTTTTTATCAAGGAGCGGCTGTACATCGCGGAAACAACCGTTGCAACCATCTACGGACTGCTGTGCAATTATCTCTTCAAAAATCAAGAAGATATGCTGCCCATTGGCAATCTCAAAAACCCGCAGTTTATGTTCCATTTTTCTCACATTATATTGTCCCTGCAGCTTGTGGCTGTGGGAGTAACAGTGCCCAGGATCTTTATCAAGAAAAACTGGAAGCCTTTAATGGTCCTGCTATTCCCGGTTATGCTGATTATGTATGCAATATCCAGCATCATCATCAAATACGTCTTTTCTTTGGACTGGCTCTCTGCGATGATCATTGGTGCGTGTGTTACGCCAACAGACCCCGTCCTGGCCAGTGCTGTGATCAAGGGAAAGTTTGCAAATAAGTATATTCCATCGCGGCTGAGATACTTGCTCGCTGTAGAAAGCGGTGCTAACGATGGGCTGGGATTCCCTTTGCTTGCTCTTCCGATTCTGCTGAAGCAGTACAGCGGAGAAAGCAACCAGATTTTTCTTGCTCTGAAAGAGTGGCTATTTACCACATGGGGCTTTGAAATTCTGCTGGCAATCATCATGGGCGTGGTGATAGGCGCAGCAGCTAGAATTCTTCTGAAATACAGCGTTAAGCGGATGCTCATTGACAAAGAAAGCTTTTTAGCATACTCCCTGGCGCTGGCCATTCTTGTAACTGGTGTAACGGCTTTTATAAAAAGCGATGACCTGCTGGCGGTGTTTGTTTCCGGTCTGGTTTTCTCCTGGGACGAGGAAATGGTTGTAGATATGAAGAATTCGCACGTTATGGAAGTTGTGGATCTGATTTTCAATCAGTCGTTTTTCATAATTCTTGGGATAATTCTTCCCACCATGCAGTTTAACTGGGAGATCGTCATTGCATCTGTGCTGATTCTTCTATTCAGGAGGATGCCCGCCCTCATACTAATGAAGCTGTGCGGCGCTCTTCCAGAGTTTAACACGAGAGAAATACTATTTGCTGGATGGTTTGGGCCAATAGGCGTTGGTGCAATATTTTTCGCGTATCATGCAAAACATGAGCTAGGATCACAGGCAGGCGAGCGTTTGATAGACATTGTTTCTGCCATTGTTTTTTCCAGCATTTTGGTGCACGGAACGACTGCACCCATCATTCACATGCATTTGAGAAGAAAGCACAGAAAGCACAGAAAGTCTGCGAGAAGAATATACGAGTCAGATACAGAAATAGAAAGAGACACTGAGATGCAAAATTTACAAGAAATTATCTAGGTTTGTAGAGAGTTCTAAATCTCTTGGTTGGTATTGCAAAAGGCTAGCACAGAATAGTTTGCATTATCCGTTTTAAAATCAATAAATAATAATTTATTACTCTTTGTAGAAATTCAGCTGAATTATTTTTAGTTTATTCTCTTTACATCAGAATCTGTACTCCTCTCGTGATATTCCTTTGCATTTAATGCTAGCCGCTGGTGCAGAGTCTGTAGCATACAGTTTGTTCAGTATGTCTGCGCCTATCTCCTCTAGCTTTGCAGACTCACTGTGCTCTGAAACAGAAAAACTGGGCATGCTGTCTACTTCCTCTATGTTTGGCATTTCCAGTGCATCTTCTAGTGTTGTGTACTCTGTAGGCTTTATTATACTTCTGTTCCTTGGCTCTGTGTGATGAAAGCTCAGAAGCATGGAAGCTTACAAATAAAAATATATTTATATTGCCAAGAGCTATTTTTGTTGCACTCTTTGTTGTAAACAGAAGAGAACAGAAGATGAGATGGAAAAGCATACACATGCATTGCTTAGGATTTGTACGTGATGTATGCTTGCGTACCATATTATTTTAAGCAGTATTGTCGAGAATCTGTATATTCAATAAATTTTATTTTGGGTTTTATCTAGTTGGTGACAAATATTTTAGTAGACAACTTTCTATTTTTTTATTCCAATGGATAGCATCACAACAGACAGTTACAAATTATCAAATGAGAATGAGTTATATAAAGTAAAGAAGAAAATCATTACGGGCGAATTATCTGCCAATGTCTCTACATCCCCTCAAATGGGACAAGTAATTGGTACACCAGTTAGTGAGTTAACAGGCTTAACTTTCTATAATGCCTTTAATAACGGAGAAACAGAAGATAATAGAATGGAGGATGTTCAAATACCAAACTTGGAAAAGGGAAGTAATGGAGAGCTTGATAATCATCAAGAAGAAAATGAAGACATTAAATATGATAAAGAATTAGAGTTATCTAATGGAATAGTGAAATTTTTAAGAAATATAAAATGCAGTCATCCGGTGGCTTTCAACAGAACTTTTGCCGCTGTGTCTATTACACTCTTTATAATTGGTACATACATGCCATTTTATGGTAAGATCTTGCTGTGTCTACTGGAATTAGTACTTATAGTAGTAAATATTAGAACAGAAAAGACATATGTTCTTGCTAGAAATCTTTACTTAATAGTGTGGTTTCTACTAGCCTCCTTTTCGCTGATTATTTGGCCAATTAGTGCATATGCTTGTATTCTGATGTTTATTTATTCAGCTTATAAATTAGTAGAAGAATCTGTAAGGAAAAAGGATTATTTGGGTTTTATTATATCTGTTCTTGGACCAGTTTTTATTGTCATGCCATTCATATTTACTAGCTGGGTTCAACTAGTAAAACCCAACATGATATGCGTATCTGCAGTGTCATTATTTTTCTTTATGACTACATTTTGCAGTACAGGAGCTTTTTACAAATTAGTTAAACTTGCAAAAATTATTATTGATTTAGTGTTTTATAATAGTATTATGTTTTTATATATTAAGAAGATAGAGATAAAAAACCAAGAACTAGATAGATTGAAGAATAGAGGAGCATCTCAGAACAAAGAGAAAATAGATGAACTAAAAAAAGAAATTAAAGCTTTGGAGCAAAATCTAAAAATTATCAAAGGTAAGATTAATAATGATATGAATTTAGATAGAAACATTTATTTGGATGAAATGCAAGGACCATCGCCATATGTTAAGAACTTCAGAATATTAAAATCTTTCAGCAAGTACTGGTTTATTATTCTTCCTGTTGTATCAATTGTTGCGGGAACAGGATTTGTATTCATTACCTGTTATCTCAATTCAAAGATGCCTGTGAGTGAATATATTCCTGTATTCTTTGAGAAATTAAAGGAAAGTTTGCTCTTAGGGAGTAGAGTCATTTCAAACACTTCAGCTTAGTTGTAAGAGTGCTTATTCCTGGACAAGTAAGTATAAACACTATTTGCATCAGTGGTAAGCTATAAATAAATCATTTGGCTTTCAATTTACTAGTTCTCTCACTATAGAGCATTTTTTACTCGGTAGTAAACTTTTCAATGACTATTTTTTATTTTTGTATATAATCCGAGAAAATAACCATGGTGACTCCATAAAGGAACTACACCACACCTAATGTAAAAGTCGATGAATGAACTGGTCTGAAGATAATTTGATGATTTATTAGTTGCAGGCCTGCATATGCCGGTCATAGGATGTTTACTGTGGATCTTGGCAACATATGTTATTATATTTATCGTCTGAATATTCTTGTCTTCTTTAGTTTCTGAATGTATTATATTCATACTCGTACCATCTGAAAGGTAAATATATTCATATTTATTTTTGTCATGGTTGTATATTTGATATATGAACTATAGATTAATTTACGATAGTTTTATGATGTTTGTATTCAGATAATGACTAGGCCTGTTTCATTTCTTCCTATAACAAATATATTATTGCTAATGCAAACTACTTGACTTGATAAAATACGCAGTATGTCAATTATTCTCTCATTACTAGAAAAAAACCCATTTAAAGAATCTACTAGTAAATAAATGTTTTCAAAAACCTTAGACATATATATAAAAGAGTTTGCCATTGCTTTTAGTGCATCTTGGTAGAAAACAAAGCTGGAGACTTTACATAAATTGCTGAATGAAACTATCAGAGTCTTAATCGATATTTTTTTGTTCTCTGCTATTTTTTTGAACTCTTCACATACTACAATGTTATACTCCACAATCAGAAACTCTATTTTAAATGATATTTCAGAGACAATTGCTAGAGAAAGTATTTTTTCCATTGCAATTAGGTCGTTTATGTAATAAATAAAGTAAGAAATCTTCCATGCGTTTTTAGGCAGATAGTCTTTCGGTAGAGATCCTGTGTATTTTATCTTCGAACTTATCGAAGGATCTTTAGTTGCTAAATCTAAAAAACGGCACACCCAAACATTCACAAAGTCCAGAATGCTTACCTGTGTACTGGAGTAAATATCTAAAAATGGGTCTCTGTTTCTAAAAGTTTGACTTTCAATGTTTATCAGCGCCTCCAAGGTTTTTATAGTGTGTATATATCTTGCATACTTGAATAGAGCAGTGTAGAGAAATTCATTTTCACTGTCTGGTCTAAAATGAGTCGATGGGGGAAGACTTCTTGGAAATCCTGTTGTTCTACGTAGAGATGTACGAGCTGGGTTGGATTCTCTTTCACTTTTTGGGTTCTCATGTGCATAGGTTTCAGGCATGTTTTCTAGATTACAACAGGACTCTTCTGTTCCGTAGTTCAATTTTTTTAGTGTCTTCGAAGAATTATTAGAGTCTACTAGTACTTTTGTATTTTTAAATTTTTCACTATACTCTATTCTATTTCGAGTATATACTGCTTTGGAATTATACTCTAACTTTTTAGGATTGTTGAAGAAGATGTCACAGATTATCAGCTCGAGCAGAGAGAATCGAGCGAGCTTTTCTGATGCTTTTTCTATGCGTTGCTCTTCTAAACTACGCACAGGATTAGCCATTGGATATGAAAATGACATATCATTTGTTAATTGCAGTGGCTGCTGAAGAAACACATTGCTTTCTATTTGGCTCATCGCTGGTACATTTTCTATGCTCGAAGATAGATAAGTATAATTTCCTTGGTCTTTCTGCACATTTTCTGAGCCCAGCATACTCCCTATTAAGTGTTTTTTCAAAGCATAACTAGTCTTAGAGTCCTTATACGGTCTCCATGTTTCTTTCCTTTTTTTTGAAGTATTATTTGTACTGCATGAAACAGCTGAATAGGACGGGGCACTGTAATTCTCATAGCTGCAAACTTTTTTGTTCTGAACTTCATTATTGTTTTCATACATTTCTGCTGTGCTATATGGACTCTGTTCTATTTCTTGGACTAGATTGATAAGAGAAGAAAGTGCGTCTGAAGTGCTTGAACACTCTTCTTTTCTAACAGGATATATTGATCCGTCTATAGTTCTGATATACTCAGGAGCGCTTTTTTCTTCTAATAAGGAAATTGTTGCACTAACTCCATTGTCTTCTTTTTGGCTATTATCAATTACATTCTGATTTTGGTCGTATATATCAGAGTTTATCATAGCTTGATATATGATATCATCTTGTGGCATAGTGGTTGGATTAGAAAAGATCTCTTTTAGAAAGATATTTATCTCTTTTTCGAATGAACTTTCTGCTTTCTGTTTTTCATCGCTAGTATTGGTGTTATCAGAGCTCTCTGTGGCTATCCATAGCTTATCGCTGTTAGAGTCTTCATTGCTTATTGGAGAAGATCTGCTGCAGTCCACTACTTCTTCCTTCCGTGTAGCTCTTGTATTTTTCCCTAGAAGAAATAGCAAACCTCCTATAAACTTGCTTACATTCGCTATCTTAATCTCAAACTTCATTCTACTCCAAAATCTATTACAAATTATTTAAAGACTGCCATTAAAATCAATTGATATTGTCGTAAATTGCACTTTTTAATAATTAGACAAAGAACAAGATACTATACCCTATATAACATGTTTACTATTTAACTTTATAAGTGCTACTACGCTCTAACAGCTTGGAAAAATAATGATGCACGCTAGAAAAGAATAAAATAGTCCAGCTTGTATGAAATCCTATTCTGCTATAAAGTTTTTCGAAAAGTCTACAAGTATGAAAAAGTACATAAAAATAAATTATTGTCTGTTTTTCGGCTTTTATTATAAATGAGAAGGAAAGCTCTGTTTGTTCACCTGCTTTATCTTCTTCTTCAGCTTGCACTCATTTTCTAAATGGTTGCCCTTTGGATGAAGAACACACTTCAGCTTTCCCGGGTCTCCTTTTTTGGGAAATACCGTTTCAGAGGCCAAGGTAAGATGATACTGTGTTTTTTCAGCACGCACTAGCTCTTTTGCTTCTTGAGCCAAAATGACTTCATTTTCCAGCAGATACCCTGCCATGTTTCTGAGTGTCTCTGTTTGAGCCTTCATGTAGAACAGGACCTTTTTGTTCTTTGCAAGCGCTCCTTCATAGAACATCTTTTTCCCATACAGCTCCACATCTTCTAGTGCCATTTCTGACCCTTCGTGGATAATCGAAGTAACCTCCAAAAACGAAAGAAAATGCGCAAACTTTTCTATGTACTGCTCCAGGCTCTTGAAATTAATTTCTTTTAGCTCTTTCAGCCTGTTCTTGTACATTTGAAGCTCTGCCAGCTTGTACGTTTCTTTGATCAGGCATTTGATTATTTTGTCGGTGGATAGATCTTTTATCCTCTCGCTGTGCCTGCTGTCTATGTATGACATTAGTTTTTCTCTCAGCTCATTGCCGGCCCATTTTCTATTTCTGGAAAGCACCAGAAAATCCTCCATCCATTTTATCAAGTCGCATTTGCTTAGATCTTTGATCGTAGGAAGCTCTTTGTACTTTGGACACCCTTTTCTTAGCTGGCTGCTCAGCTGGATGCACGGCGCAACTATGTGGTAGTTCAGATCTTCTGCTGTTGCCGCTTCGTGAGTTAGATCTGCATCATTAGAGTCATTTGCTAAATGCTTGCTTAGAGAAGAAAGCTGTTCTCGCAGGGCTTCTCTTCTTTCCTTCCAGCTTTTAGCATTTTCCTGGTCTATGCACTGTATATGCTCCTGCTCTGTTGTTGCCACAAACATTTCTGCATCACTGCGCCTTCCCAGCCTTCCTGAATATTCCATACAACAAACATATACTCGATATTAAATTCTTTATCCTTGGCTTCTTTTTGCTTTGTAGGTTTGTTTTAGAAGATGCTCATCCTTGAAAAGAAATGGAAAAGCTGAATTCATCTGCAGTGCACTGCATCTGTTTTATATAAGCATGGAAAACTTTTTTATTCTTTTTGTTTACTATGCTACTGTTTATTATTGTTCTCCAGAGAAAATAGAACGGAAAAATTGCTTGCTAGAACTTTGTTTGAATAACTAGCTAAAGTAATAGATTTTTTATTCTTTGCATGAGATCTCCAATATTCGATAAAAGAGCTCAATTAGCATCTTCACGAGGCTGTATTAGACCAAAAACATGGTCTAAATCCGTTATGTTACATTTTTACTTATTTTCTGCCTTCTTGGTGTTTATAATGCTCATTCCGCAAGCTTTGTTCATGCTATAGAGCGAGCTCCAATCTTCTACAAGAACTGGGTCGCTGTTTTTCACTCCAAAGTCTATGTCAACAGTCTCCATTGCTCGCGTAATCAGCTTTTTCTGCATTTCTAGCTTAGAGTAGATGTCTTTGAATCTCGCAGTGCCCTGTATCTGTTTGACATACTTGAGAAAGAACACCAAAGTGTACATCCGTATCACCGAGCTGTCTAAGTATGGCATCTCCATCATCTGCTCTTTGATGTATCTTTTGTACACTAGCTCCAGCTCCTCTGGAATTTCTACACCAATAGATTCTATTATAGCAACATATTCTCTGTATATGTCTTTGCTATATCCTTGGCTCATGCAACTCTGTAAATTTTTCAATTTTTAACCAAAAATCTTTCTTTAGCAGTTAAGCACTAGCTGCACTAGTCAGTCAGTTGTACAATAAAGAGCATATAATCAGAGAGCACATGGTGCTTCTTATAGATATAAGCAATCTAAGGAAAAGATAATGAATGAGTATAGTTGAGTAAAAGTTGTTGTATATGAGGATTTATTGTACTTCTTAATTCTCATCTTACTTTCTGAGTTGTTTAGCTTCTAGAGCTCAACACAATAAAACTTGTTCTATTTTTCAACTGTCACATAGACCAAAATAAAAACTGGCGAATGCTTGCATACTATTGCAGTTCTAAACTTACAATAATAGATAAGTTTGTCTTACTTGGAAATTAGTGGCAGCGATTGCTGTTTGATTTTCTACCTAGGATTTTCTCTTCACACTGTCAGATTATTAATAGTAAATAAAATACAATTAACTAAATCACTTGTAATCAATACAATCCAACCAACAAACATTAAGAAGGATAACCCAAGAATTGTATAGAGTACAAAAGTCTTTCTAGTATAGGTTTTTTTGACTTTTGTTTTTATATTATGTAGTTTTGCATGTTCTTCTATTTTTTCTATTATATACTCTCTTTGATATGAATGTAAAACAAGATATATGCGACTTAGAGAATTTTGATCGTTATTTAACTTCTGGCCTTTTTCATTTCTTCTCTTAATTGATAATCGATTAAAATTATTTTCAGCCTTCTGTTTAGTATTTTTAAGCTGTTTTTTTGCTGTTTCATACTCTTCTGTTTTAGAAAAAGAGCTTTTATTACACTTAATATAGTCTTGTGCTTCTTTCAGTACAACATCACCTGCTTTCTTAATCTCTCTATCCAAATCATTCATTTTACCATCTATAATTAGATTTTCATTTTTTTGATACTTGATAAAGCCTTCTAAACTGTCATCTATTTCTAGCACGTCTGATCCATCAGTATTTATATCTGCTATTGAGATGTTATTGTTTGTCATGTACCACAGTGTTCCTAGTATCTTATAAAACGCATCTCTTTCTGCAGTAATTTCATTATTATATGTTCCAATAGATGCAATCAGCTTTACTTCTTCTTCTATAAAATTATCTTTAATCCCTCTTTCCATGTCCCTGCACAGCTTTAATCCGTGCTCCATAAGACATGCATTGTCTCTTCTTCTAATGTATAGCTGTTTTAAAGTGTATAAATTACCTGAATAATTTTCTTTAATCGCCTGAAGCTTTTCTGTAGTGTTAAAAAGTTTCTTATATAAAATATAATCTGTAAGTCCATCTAAATAATCAGAATAATTCTTCAGCATTTGATCTAAATTGGGATTATCTGTACTTCCTTTAAGCGTTATTGTATGCTCATGAGTAGAATCTGGTTTGAAAAAACTCGAAATTGTAGATTCACTATGTTCTTCTACTTCGTCTATATAGTTATCTTCATTAATCTTATATCGTGGTGCGGTAGCTGACATATTTTGTATCCCTTCATTCACTATTTTTGATATATAAAGCTTAACTTCCTCCTCGGTATCTAAAGACGTATTTCTTAGTTCTTCCTCCTCGTTATCTAAAGATATACTTCTTAGTTCTTCCTCCTCGTTATCTAAAGACGTATTTCTTAGTTCTTCTATAAGCTTGTTACTATCATACTCACAATTTGTATATATTAGTGGATTTAAATAAATGAGTTTCTTGAATATATTCAGAGCATACTGTGCACTTTCTTTGTTACTAGTATTTCCTTCTACGATTATAGAGTTATCAAAAATGCTCTCTAGAATGTTACTGTCTGTTAAATTTTCATCGCTATTATTCTTCCGAGTTTCTATAAACTGTTGTACCATTTTATCTAAGTTTATTTTTATATTTAGTTCCACTTCGTTATTCATTATAGCTCCCGTAAAAACAGTAAATTTATAGAATTAATAAATTTTATTGATCAATTAGTAGCAGTTACAACTATTCAATCACTAACGAACTAAATTAATTGGTGTTTATTATTGGGCTACAGTTTTATGTAGTCTCTCCCAAGATGTTCTAGCCTAAGAATAATAAGTACATGAATACAAGCAAATACTAACTATTGGTTAGTCTTAGGAGTAAATGTCTTAGCTTCTAGAACATAAAAAGTTATGTTGTTCACAGATATAAAGAAGTATAAAGTAAGAGAGGCCAGAATAAATATTGTAACAACGCCTTGGCAGAACCTTTTAACTACGAATAAGTCAACATTTCTATTTCCTAAATAAAATGCTAGGAAAAAAAATAAATGCATGATCAAATAAAGAAAGCCAAACCAAAATAGCGAGCACATAACAAAAATAGTGGACTCTTCAAAAAATAGTTTAACAAAACTTATCAGAAAAAGATATCCCAGCCAGAATAAAAACCCAACTAGCGTTCCATGCCTTTTTAGAAAAGTATTTGGGTTAGCTGCACCAACAGGTTTATATTTTCGCGTTATATAAGCCCATATAACTATCAGAAAACAAATTAAACCTATCCATTCAATGTTTAAATATTTAGGATTGTCTATAAATATGGATCTGAAATCATAGACTTCCTGAGCTTTCTCAATGTCTATATAAGGATATAGATAAAGCTCTGCGGCAGAGACAAAAGATCCTAGGCTTAAATAGCACAGCAAAATATGCTGTCCCAAATATGGACAACTAGCTAGATCGTTTTCAGATGCATGGTGTACATATCGAATGCCTCTTCTATTCTGTCTCATTGCTTGCGTTTGATTCATATTCTGGCCACTTGGGTCATTATTAGAGCTGTCTATATTTATGTAAAAATCGTCATTACACTTTTCTCTGTTTTTTGGGCCTTCAGAATCGGCAACTTCAGATGCTTTTGTGCATTTAGGATCTTCTTCTGTGCCATCCAATGCTATCTGGTCATCTGGCTCTTCAGACTTAATGCGTCTATTGTTATATTCTTCTAGTGGCTGATGGGGCAGTAGTTTTTTATCTGTTTCTTCTGTGTCCCAGCTTTTGTCTACTCCACAAGACAAGTCCAAACAACTGGTAAGATCCTGTGTAATATAGCTATTTTTCTTATCTTTTGCGAATTTATTTACTGCCATTCTGTTACTAAAAAATTATCCTACTTTATACTTTATTGTCATGCCAGATAAGATTAAATTTTGATACATCTGACAGATGAAAGACGTGGTATATCATTAAAAAGTTTATTTGTATGAAAGACATGGAAATTCTCAGACATTTGCCAACTCTTTGTTCTATAAGTCTATTGGTGTTCTAGCTCTATGGCTCATCAAAGTTTATTCCCCTGGCTATCGGAGTAGGAACACCAACGTGTCTTATATAGTTAATGCATGCATCTATTCCTCTCAGCTCTTCTGGAGAGCAGCTGGAAATATCTCTTTCCTCTATATTGCCCTCTTGTATGTTTTTTTCTCTTTGCTTTTTGAAAAGAGGACTTGTCATTAAGTTGTTCATAATTGCTGCAGTATCTGGCAAGTCGTTGTTGCATACAACTTCATCATCTGCATAGACATGCAGCACATGATCGTATACCCTGCCGTCGTATTCATCTATATCTTCAGAGCTCTGATAGCCTTCAGAACTGTAGACAGCTTCTTGTTCAATGTCTTGCTGGGCTTCATCACTGATCTCGCACTCAGCTTCTGCATTAATATTATTCTCGGCATTTTGGGCAGCTTCTACATTAATTTCATCATCAATCTCATATTCAGCTTTCTGTTCAGTCTCCTGCTGAGCTTCTTGAGTGTCTTCTTGGGTATAATTAGAAGCGTATTCTTCTTCTTCTCCATCTTCTCTTTCGTCTCCGCTTATTTCGTTTTCTTCATTTACCCTTAGAAATTCTTCTACTTTTTTAGACTGAAGAAACCGCTCTACCAGCTCAGAAAAAACCTCTGACTCAGAAGGCTCGTAGCTCTGTATCTTTTCTAGCTCAGCCAACTTGAATGAAAAGATGTCTCTAACCTGTTTTAGCAGGGCATTGTAGAAGACAAGGTTTTTCTTTGTTTTTGTGCTACATTTGTCCGTACTAAGCAATGTGTCCAAAACTGTTCTGTACAGCGATGTGTACGCCTCCTCCAACGATCTTTGAAAAGAGAGCCAATAGCTCATGCAGATTGTCGGCTCTAGGCCCTCTGCTACAAGATATTCTATCACTTCATCATGCAAATCACTTTTTCCATCTAAGACATCTTCTTCTGACGTATGGAAAATCATTTCAGCCAGCTCTAATTCGCTTGAAATCTTGTACTTCTCTTGCTTAAGATAGAAAAGGAGGAGAATCGGGGCATAGGAGACATTTCTCATATGCGCAGCCTTTTGCAGGATGTTCTCAACTTTTTTAACAAAGAGCTCAGCATCTTCAAGTATTTTTATGCTCTTTCCGCTGAGATTAAGGGCTTTTTCTTTTGCTTTTTCACTGCACGCTGCCAATTTTTGCGGGGTCTCAGGGCCAGACTCACCTCCAGCTGTGGTGGCTGGCTTGTCTCTCACAGGAATCAAGACGAGGGCAACTTCTTCCTTGGGCTCTTCAGTGTATACACTTTGGTTTGTGCTGCACATCTTCACTATAGCGCTCAGTTTCTTAAAGGGATACCTGATCGCTGCTTTTGCGCTCCTGTGCATGCCTTTTGTTCTGTTTTTAATTGATCCAAAATACTTCTTAAACTTGTGGGAAACGGAAGTGTCTTTTTCTCCTACAGTGTGTGCTAAATTGCTGTTCATTTTATGATGAAGAGATTCTAAGTTCTATTTATAGATTGAACAGCATTACCATAAACACTCCATGGTTACCTTCTTAAGCACAACAAACAAAGGAGGACACTTTCAGAGCGTACAGGCCTAATTTTGAAAAAAGGTCCCATCCATTGCCATCTAGCAAAGTCATCATGAAACATCTCATAAACACGCCTATACATTCTAGTTTCTTGCAGCAATTATCTGTCTAAACTAAGATAAATGGCTATATAAACTGCTCTTGTTTGTATATACTGTTTAACATGATGTAGCGTATTAGAACTCTCATTTCTTCAAAGATTATCAGCTAAAGTAGCAGTCTCTTATCTTTAATATTCTCTGCTGTGCAGTGCTATAATGTGTAAGGAATAAATAAATTTTATGTTCTTTTTTTCGAAAAGGCTATTTAAAACAAATTCTACATGTTTAGAATGTAGAGAAAGATTTTGCTGGCAACTAAAATAAAATCCAAGATAAAATTACTAATTTCACTAGATATACAGTCTCTTGGCTATATTTATCAATAAAAACTGTTTGTTTATGTGATAGTTTCAATGAAAAACAGATAATGCAGTAAACACACTACAATGCACATCCATCACTGGAAGCTAGCTTAAAACCCTATATGGCATGCATGTAGATTGATTATGTGTGATTTAACGATAAAAAGCTTTACTGTAACTAACTAAATATTTATTCTATAATGTCTATTTTTACTTTTTTGTTTGTGCTCTTTTCTTTGGAGTCTTCTTCTTCAAACGGCTCCTCTTTCGTGTCTGAGGGTATTTCTTCAACCAAGTCATCAATTTCGTACTTTCCTTCTATAATAGTGCCTTTTCTCGGGTGTATTATTAAATCTACAATAGACAGTATCTTGGTTACTTCATCAGACACGCTTGGCACAGAGATAGCTTGTGCTAGTACAACTATGTAATTAGAGAGCACGGTGTGTATATCCTCTGTGTTGAACGGTATAATTACGCTATACAGGATCTCCCATGCAAGATCTACAAGCTCCGTGTACTTTTCGCTCTCAAATCTGTCTAGCAGATCGATGACCACATGCTCAGATGTATTTTTATACACGCTGCTGTTCATTAAGACAATTAAAAATTGAAATTCAATAAAATTTTAAAATTCGCACAAACCACTGAATCCAACATATTATTTTTATAGAACAGAAAATAAACACACAGCACACTAGATGCTATTCTATTCCATCATTCACTCAGAGTAGATTATGTCATATGCATCCTGATTACATTTTTATACAGAACTCAATCGGATAATCATTTACTTTGATGGCAAACAGATGCACCTTGCCAGAGTTCTTCTTTTTTCTCACCTCTAAAAGAAGCTCAGTAACTGCGTCTGGAGAGTCTATTGTGATTTCAGAAGCAGAAGAGCCTACTTCCAGATCTAGCACGGAAATATCCACCGAGTGCTCAGATGACAGCTTTATTATTGAATTGTTTTTTGGTGTTTTTTCTGTATGATCAGGTTCTTCTGTGCTATCTTTTGCTCTTTCTTCTTCAGAGCTTTGCAGAAGAGGGTTCAAAATCACAATATGGTACGATATAGCTAGCAGTCTGCACAGAGTCAGCTTTACAAAGTATTTTTCATCCACCCTTTTCAGACCAATAGAATACATAAAATCTGCGGGGAGAGAGAGTGAAGACGGCCTCGAGTAGTGCACCTGCTCAAAGTCCACAGAAATGCGCACGGGCTGGCTCCAATCAGGTATTTTCAGAAGCTTTAGTTTGTATGAAGAGTTTTTAAACACCATTCGCACTCCATTTATGCTCACAATTGACTTGGAGTGTGCTTCGTGCGACAGCGATTTGTCCGGGATAACGGTCACAATAAGATAGTTCCCTTGTATCTTCTCAATTACCTGGACAGGAGGAACTACCTTGTATATTTCTGTCTTCAGAATGACTTCTTCTGCGTTGTTAATTACATTTGAAAGACAATATGTCTCAGAGCAGTCTGAGGTCTTTGAAAACTCCAGGTAGTCGAACTGAATGCACTCCGCATCGCAGGGAATGTAGTAGGCTCTGTTTCCACTGATGTATTCAGACGATCTGCGCTCCTGTCCCTCAGCAATCTGCGCGCTTTCTCTCGATAGGCCACTTGCTGCAGATTTTTCAGCGTCTTTATTGGTCTCATTTATTTTTGCATTAGCGCAGTGTGCATCATTTATGTTGTCTAGATAAGACTTCAAGGGCCCAGAGCTGTACGTAGATATTTTTACGCCATCAAAAACCCCCTCAACCCACACGGTTTCGCCGTTGTAGAGAAATGTTCTTTTTTCAGAGACGTGCGCACTGCCAAATGCCGGAGTGTCCTGCAAGGCATTTTCTTCTGCTCCAGAAATGTACATGAAAACAAACAAACAAACCCACTAGTTTAATTAACTGAAGAGATTATAAATAAATTTTTCAGAAAAATTTTAATATGTTACATATAGTAGATACACAGCCACATACAGAGTCACATACAAAAATGGAAAACGACGAGATAAATAAACAGTCAGAAATAAGCGCAATCCCTCGCCCATACGTAGAGAGAACAGAGCTTGAGAGGGATCCAAATGGCGCAGATGATTTGTACAAACAAACATTGGAGGCATCTGATCTCATATACGGAAAAAAGCCACCCGTCAACAACTTTACCTTCAAAGACATAACATACAAAGGCATCATAAAGAAAGTCACACACTCTTTCAAAAGCGGACAGATGACAGCAATACTTGGCCCGTCTGGCGCAGGAAAGACGACGTATCTGAAGGTAATATCTGGAAGAAAGCAGAAAACAACGGGAGAAATCATTTTGAATGGACAGGAGATAAGCCAGAAGGAGCTGCGAAAGAAAATAGCCTATGTCCACCAGGAGGACCACCTGTATCCTTCGCTGACTGCAAAAGAGATGCTTGTGTACACCATACGGCTAAAATCACCGGAAGAGAAAAACCCAGAAGAGCTTGCGGATAAGCTGCTCGCAGAGGTGGGCATGGCGCATGTCAAAGACACTTTGATTGGAGACCCGCTGGAGGGATCTGCAGGCCTGTCTGGGGGAGAGAGAAAAAGACTATCAGTCGCGCAAGAGCTGGTTTCTCTCCCGGACACACTCTTTTTGGATGAGCCAACTAGCGGACTTGATTCATACACTTCAGAATCACTGATTATTCATCTTAAAAATCTTGCCAGTTTAGGTATGCTAGTGACAATGACCATCCACCAGCCCTCTTCCGACATATTCCACATGTTTGACAACATCATTCTGATGAAAAACGGGTACATAGCGTATGCAGGCTCTCCAACTGATCTATTACTCTATTTGGAAAAGATAGGAATACCCTGTCCCAAGTACACAAACCCAGCTGACCACCTGTTCAGAATCCTAGATAAAATGCCAAAATCAGCATATCCCCCGATAAGGCTCAGCGGAGCAGAAGACACAGAAGCATTTGACACAAATAGACCAAAAACAACGCTGTCCTCATTTCTGTACGAAATTAAAGTATTAACATCTAGGACTATTCTGTGCAGCGTTAGAAATAGAAAGTATCTCTATGCTAAGTGCGGTCATGCTCTGTTCGTGGCAATTATCACAGGGCTATTCTTATACAACATACCAGCTAAAGAGGCATACCAAATAGAGACAAATGTCATAGGATGCTACAGGACCATAACAATGGCTACCTTTGGGTCTTTCTCGTACGGAGCCATTTCAATTCTCTTCTCGGACAGGAAGATTTTTCTGAAAGAGTATGGATCCAACTACTACACGTTCCTTCCATATTTCATTTCTAAATTGGTGGTTGACTTCTCCATTACCGCAATGCATCCGCTGGTGGGCACTCCAATCATATTCTACCTCTCTGGAATAGGAAGCATCAGCCATATATTCGGGTGTCTTCTCCTGGGAGCCACAGCGCATGCGCTCGGTGTGCTAGTTTCTTCGTTTGTAGAAACATCAGAAATTGCGCTGGCTTTGTTCCCAGCTCTTGCATACTTCATAAACATGCTGACAGGAACAGACGTGGAGCCAGACTCAATACTTTCAGGGCTGAAATATCTGCAGTATATATCACCCCCCAGACACGCGTACAACATCATGATAAAGCTGCACTACCAGGGAGACACAACCGTATCGCCAAGGCTAAAGGGATTGGTTGATGGATTTGTGTCTATTAGGACATCGATGATCACTCTGTTCATCACATACTTTGTGCTGATAACAATAGCCGGATATTCTCTCAAGCGCAAGGTGATGCAGCTGACAAAAGGATAATTAAAATAAAGTACAACTAGAATAAAACCCACACATTCCACAGATAGACTCATACAGCTTGTAGCCGTCAGTTAAGATAATAGAAATAAAGAAATAAAAATTTGCATATGGCGGTGGAGGAAGTAAAAAATGAAATATTTAGACACGAGCACCAGGAGAAGAAGAGAAAGAGAGTGAAAGTAAGAAAAGCAGAAGAACACCCTGCAGAGCTTGCAGAAGTCTGTGCCAGCCACAAGAGTGTGCCAATTTCAGAGTATGTTTTAAACAGTACGAACATAAACCACAAGATATACCGAGACATTCTAGTAAATAGAAGAAATGGAGAAAGAATATCTTCTTTAAATCCACTCAAATAGAATAAATAATACAAAGAGACAATAGATTTAAAGAGTTTTTCCGTGAAGGCAGCACAGCTATAGCTGCTTCCACACTGTTTTATTTCTCATCCTGCGATTCTAAAGTGCGCCAATGGACAAATAGTCCGAATAAATCAGACAGAAAGAGTCTGCGCCTGTTCTAAACAGAACTTAGCTAGGAGCCGTATATACTGCAGAAGTAGCAGTTAGCATGGCTATATAGAGTAATATGTCTATTTTAGTAGGAGATACATCTAAATGGTAGGCAAACATTCAGTTAGTAGATAGGAAATAGAAATTAGCTCTTTGTCTGCCTGCTTGAGAATTAGACAGTTATGCACATATAAATATTTTAGAATATTTTATTCCATGGAAGAGCAATTAGCAGAATCACTTAAAAACATATCGATTAAGAAAAAGAATGTGAGCATAGTGTTTATAGGGCACGTGGATGCAGGTAAGTCAACGACAGGCGGACAGATACTCTACCTCTCAGGGAAAATAGACAAAAGAACACTTGAAAAGTACGAAAAAGAGTCGAAGGAAAAGAACAGAGAAAGCTGGTATCTTTCCTGGGCACTTGACAGCAACCCAGAGGAAAGAGACAAGGGCAAGACAACAGAGCTAGGGCAGGCATACTTTGAGACAGAGAATTCAGTGGTTCAGATACTCGATGCCCCAGGACACAAGATGTACGTTCCCAATATGATACTCGGAGTGAACCAGGCAGACATAGCAGTGCTTGTCATCTCTGCGAGACAAAACGAGTTTGAAGCAGGATTTGAGAAGGGAGGACAGACAAGAGAGCACATATACCTAGCCAAGGCATCGGGGATATCGAAGATATGCGTGCTAATCAACAAGATGGATGACATCACAGTCAGCTGGTCCGAAGAGAGATACAACCAAATTATCAAATCAACTAAAAAACTGCTGCACACCCTCTTTGGAAAGAATGAAGTAGTCTACATGCCCATCAGTGGATTCCTCGGATACAACATAAAAGAAAATAACCTAAGCGAAGTGGCTCCGTGGTACAAAGGAGTGTCATTCTTCGAATACTTGAACAAAATAAATATAGTCCGAGAGAACAGTGCGCTAATGTACGCGTCAGTGACTGATGCGTCAAAAGAGATGGGAGGATACTTTATAACTGTGAGAGTGGAAAGAGGAACTTTGGAAAAGTCTCAGGTTAAACTCTTCCCAGGATCTAGGAAAGTGTCTGTGATCTCCATCACGAGGGATGACGAGGAAATAGACAAAGTATTCTCAGGAGAAACCGCCAGAATAAAGCTGAAAGAAAGCGATGAAATATTTCCCGGAGATGTGCTCTCTGCGCTGGACTACTCTGACACAAAAGACTCAAACTACTTCATGGGCTCGCTGAGCATACTGGATGCAAAGTCGCTGATCACAAAGGGATACTCTGCGGTTATGCACATGGGCGCCAGAGAGGTGCCTGTTACAATAGGGGACCTATACAAAAAAAGCGACGAAAAAATATTAAAGGTTAAGTTTGCAAAAACAGGAGACAAGCTCATGGGAGAGATCTTTGTGAACTCTCCTATTCCGCTGGAGGTGCACACCGAAAACAGAAGAACCGGCATTTTTACGCTGCGAGACGAAACAAGAACCGTTGGATTTGGAAAAGTCCTAAAAATAAAAGAAAGAAAGTAGTAAATTTTTCAATAGACGAAATACAGCAATGCCATCCCACGAACAAGAGAAGAACGATGCAAGAGTAGAAGAAGAGCAGAAGAGCAAAATAGACCAAAAGAAGGACATACTGTCGCTCCAGGAAAGAGTGAAGCTGCTGGAAGACCAGATAAAACAAAAGAGCGAAGAGCTTTCGAAAGTTTCAGAGCTGGTGGAGAAGCTGAAAATCATAAACACGCTCCTACACAAAGAAGTGTGCAGAGAGTACAAAACACTGGGCATCCCCGTGGAAGCAGAATAAAGATGTATTTTGGGCAATCAGCTACTCTCTATCTTATTCCTAGCTAGGGCATTTACTATCTTTTATCTTTTTCTTTATCATCTTTAGATTTTTATGCACATTCAATCTCGCAGTCTGCAGCAGAGATATTGCTGCATACTTTGCATTATAACCATCTTTATCTATTCTCCCTCCTTTCTTGCAACCTTTGCTGAAATTAAATTTTAAATTGGCACTGTGTTTCGACTCTCCAAATTAGAATTTCGTGGGCTGTATAATAATAAAATTATTATTAATATTGAGTTATGACAGAATTGAGAGAGGGCATGAAAATGTTTGCACAAGAGCTGTCTGTTCGGTGCTTATACGATCCGCTAGAGTTTCTGTTCAAGATAGATATAGCAGAAGAGTTCAACTACTCCACGAGCTCCTCCAAGCTGAGCAGAGCAATGAACCTGTTCTCGATGCGTGAGTACTACCAGGCATACTCTGTGCTGCTTTGTCCAGACGAAGACCCTGCAATCGCGTATAACTACTGCGGATGCTGCAGCAGTTCTGCGGTCTTTCTGCGAAACTATTCGGTTTGTATTCTTTCATCGATAAAGAATGTAAAAGAAGCAGGATTTACCGTGAATGGAGTAAAGTACAAAGACGAAAGTGTAAATAAGATACTCCAGAAAGTAGTAGCATCCTCTGGCACATCTCACACAGAAGGATCTATAAGTCTTTCAGATCCGTTTCTGCTCTATCTTCTGATTATCTCTAAAAAAGAGCACATCTCCCCAGAGAACTTCAAAAAAATGCTCTTCCTGCTCATAGAGACTCTTCCATACTTCTGGGACGTGTACAAGCTCCTGGCTGACATAATTACCATATCAGAATGTAACGAGGTGTTTGAAGCAATAAAGGACGAAAAGATGCGGCGGGTCTTTACTTTGTACATTGGATGCAAGAAGTCTATACTGCACCCGTCCCTGAAGAAGATCATAGAAGAGTACGAACAGCGCCCAGATGACATATCTGTGTATGAAGAGTCGCTGATTGTACTTGTCCTTGGGCACTACAAGAAGAACACAAAAGCACTGGAAATAATGGAAAGAGTGATGGAAAAAACACACGACTGGAACAACTTTGACCAGTTCTCAAACATTTTGTACTCCCTGAAAGACACAGAAAGACTCTCGAGCTTGCTTTTCAAAGTGTTTGATCACTTTGGAAATCTTCCCATCTACAACTACGTATCAGGCAATCTGCTGGCGCTAAAATCAGACCACATCAGCAGCATAGAAGAGTTTCAGAAGATACTGCACGATGACTTTACCGGAGAGTTCGATATTGCATATATATTTGTAGCACAGGAGTACTTCCATCTGAAGGACACGTGTTCTGCGATCAAAGCGTGCAACTTGGCCATAAAAAAGAATTACAATGACTATAGAGTGTGGCTCAGCATGGCACAGATATATTTCGCGATTGAAATGCACGAATATGCCCTGCACTTCTACAGAAAGTGTGCTGAGCTGTCGCCAAGCACTCCCTCGATATACGAAGGGCTTGGGCAGTGCTTCGAAAAGCTGAACAGAGAGGATGAGGCTATCAGATGCTACAAAAAGTGTGTAGAGCAGGGGAGCATGAAAGCGCTGTGCCTCCTTGGAGATTTGTTTTTCAGACAGAATAATCAAGAGTTTAAGAAACAATACATGGAGTACATACGAATATCCTTTTCAAACTCAGAGGATGCTGAAAGCCCCGACATAAACATGAAAACATTGGAGCGACTAATTGAGTCGCTAGAGCCCTCTGTGGACTCCAGCACTATTCTAGAATGGCGCAGATCCCTGACTATTCTTAAAAGTAAAATAGGCAACTAGTGTCAGTCAATAAATTATTAAAGAAAAATTGTTCAGGGTTTTGGAGAATGCATAAATAACAATGAGCATTCTGTTTCTTCAGTTGTTTTATAGCAATGGTTAGGAAGACCGTAAAATGAATGCATGCCACATTGAAAGAGCATTTTTTCAAGTTTTTTCATACAAATTCTGAGTAAATTTCCTGGTTCTAGCCCTGATGATCTTCTGATCAGTTGAAAGATGCCATAACACTCCTATCTCTGCTGCCACCATACCAAACAACCACTAGCTAAAGTATCTAAACCAGCCGTAGAGTGCAAATAAATTCTTTTAAATAAATAAGCAAATTAATAAAACGGAAAATGCAAATAAAATTGCTTCTTTATTATGCAGATGCATTTAAAAGATTCATTCTCTTTTTCATGAAAGGGTTTGTTCTGTCTTTTCTGTCTTCTGAAGATCTGGCTCTAACAATTCTTTGATGAACAGCACAAGAAATACAGTACTCTAGTTTGTAGTAGAACTTAGGGACTTCAAAGTCTTCATATACGGATGCCAACTTAATGTCATCAAAGGATGCATTGTCTATTACATTTCTTATATGGAATCTCTTTATTGCTTTGTCTTTTGGGCAGCATCTAAAACAATTTTCGCACCGAATGTTTCTTGTGTGGCCTCTGTTCATTTTGGCTCTTCCATTATTTCTTCTCTTTTTAGTCATTGCTGGGGTGAAAAATGAAAAAATTATTTGTAGCACTCATTTCAGCGGAAACTTAAAAAAGACAGAAGTGACCATGGCGGACAGGAATACGGCGACAAGAATGATGGGGCCCTGGACATCGTCGTACGGGCCTGCGTTTTTTTCCTTGATTTTTTTTGTTCTCCAGATGTATAAATATAAGGCATATATCGAGAATATGATGGAAACTATCACGAAGCACACCCCAGAGAGCGCGGCCTGGACATCCCCCAGCCCCATCAGAGCAGCTCCTATCCCCCCGATAAAAATGGCAAAGTGCAGCCACGAGAGAAAGGTTCTTTCGTTTGCAAAAAAAACTTTTGGCTCAATGCGCACGGGGACAGCAATGGGCTTATCGGAAGCTGCGTACGGGATGGCCTGTCCTGTGGTCTGTTTTAGCGCTGTGGGCTGGAAGAAGCTTTCCTGCGAGTTATTTTCTTCTGGCTTCATTGTTTTTTCTCTGTTTATATTTAGGTTTTGTATTTCATTCTGCCCTCTGTTTGGATTCTGTGCTGTTTGTTGTTCTGCGCAATCAAAGGTGGGGTGCTCTCTTTGGGAGTCTGCGCCCTGTCTCGGATCTGTTTCGTATATAAAATCTCCGCTTGAGCTGCTTGAGCTCCCTTGCTCTGCTGAAGTATTGGTACATTGGTATACATGCTCTGCCTGGGGAACTGTTTTGTGGTCTTTCATCCCTTGGATTATCTCCGTTATTTCGTCTTCTAAATGGGAAAGCTTTGGAATTGCAGTAGGGCTGTGCTCCAGATCAATTTGTCTTTTAATGGGGACAATTATTTGGTTGTACCAGTAGGGAATGGAGGGGACTGTGTCGTAGTGGACTGAGCACCCATGCAAATATTTTGAAAATTTATCTACAGGCATTACTAGCGGGCTGTTCATTAGCTCTAGGATCCAGTCTTTCTCGTTTCCCTCTTCTAGCTTAACTTCTAAAATAGCGTACGGAAAAGATTTGCCGCATTCTCCATTCCACATGGCCAATTTCGTGTCCAGAGATATTCGGATGGAAGAGTCTTCGGGAAACTGGAAGGCAGTTCTGCTGTACACGGTCTTGACAACGGGCTTTAGCGACAAATCTCTTATTAGATCAATCACCTCCTGATATAGATTAAATGCCTCTGCGTCCGAGTTAATTGTTTTAATCTCTTCCCAGATGTCAACTCCGCTGGAGAGTTCGGGAATCAGTTTAGTGTGCACCAGAAATCTTTTCTTAGTGCTTCTCTCGCCTGTCCACCCATCTTCGTGCGTTTTCAGCTCCACATAGGATATGATTGACGACTCGCCGTAGCTTCTAATTCTAAGGGATTTGGCGCCCTGGTCTCTCCTAATTCTTTTATCATACAAGTAGAACTGATTGGTGTCGAAGTACACGCTGGAAATGAAGGACGAGATCTTTCCGCTCCCATCGTCCCCAAAAATGTACACGGGAAGATGGGGAATGATCATGCCAAACACTGTTTCAATGTTATCTAAGTCAATCCAAAACTTTTTTGTCCGCCGAACAAAACACGTATTTATCCTGGACACAGAGTGCAGCCCCTTCATTTCAATAAGGGCGTGCCCCATGCTGTAAATTACACTCTCTAAATTAATCATTTTCACCGACTCTCGCAGAGAGATCTTTTCCTCCACTGGGATGCTGAGGTTCTCTATTGTGTGCAAAATGACTCTTGTATCGTCTGCATGCTTTAAAATGGCTATGCACAGATCGTTATACTCTTTTTCTCTGTGTGCATCGGTACTTCGCAGTTTGTTTATTTCTCTGCTGAGTATAGACATCCTTACCGTGCTCTTGAATATGAAGTTGTTTAATATTTCTTCAGGCTCCATTCCTTGAAGACTCTTAGACATACATTTCGTTATTTTCTGCACTTTTATATGCTCAGTGTAACCTTGTTTCATATATATTTGATTTGCTACTTTGTTTCTTTCGTTTTATTTCTGCAAGAGATGGCTTGTTTTCAGTGATGGAAGGGGCCTTTGGTGCGATTCAAAATAAAAAGTGTAAAAATCCAAAGGCATTCTTTATAGCTCGCACAGACTTAAACAACGCTTTATGTTTGGTTTAAATTTTAAAAAATTTAGAGGAATAAATAATAAACAGCACACAGGGATTTATTAGCAGATTCAAGTGCGCATGGTCATCAGCACAGCCAACACAAGAAGCACATACCCTGTCTGCAGCTCTCTATAATCTCTTTTGTTTCAGCTTTCTCTGCTGTAGTTTTACAAGTTATTAACACAGCTCGAGAATGTAGAATAGATTCTTATCTGAAACCTCTGCAAAAACAAAACTCTGTCTCCTTCTATCTAGATTAAGAAGAGATCTTTTTTACTTGCAGAACTAATCTGTGCCACTATGGGAGGTGGATGAGAGCTTGAACTTCTGAAGCGATTTCCCAAACACTCCGCATATATTCTGGGCACTCGCATACTCTTCTGCATCTATCAGCGTTATGGCACTGGATGTTTTTCCAAACCTGCCGCCTCTTCCTATCCTGTGCAGGTATTCCTCTGAAGAGAACGGAAGATCGTAGTTGATAACCAGATTTACATGCGCAGCATCTATTCCTCTCGACGACAAGTCTGTGGACACAAGTATTCTGAACTTCCCGCTGAGAAACTCGCCCATCTTTTTGTTTCTCTCTGTCTGCTCTAAAGATCCATGCAGCACAGCGACAGGAAATTCGTGCATCAGCAGCTTTTTTCCTATCTCTATTACAGTTTCCTTTCTGTTCGCAAATATAACGGCCTGCGATATGGAAATGTTTGCTAAAATGTTGCAAACTGCATTGAATTTCTCTTTTTGCGCGGTCTTGACATAAAACTGCGATATTTTTGAAAGAGCAAGTTTCTCCTGTGGGACTAAAAACATTTTTGGACTGTCCAAAAACAGCTTCAACATTTCCGTTACCTCATTTGGCAGAGTGGCACTCACAAAGACAAACTGCGGCTCCTGCGGTTTTATCCTATCAAAAAGAGACTTAACCTGCAGCTCAAATCCGTCGTCCAGTACTCTATCCGCCTCGTCCAGCACAATCATGTGCAAATTTGCAAATGACTTGGAAGACTCTCTGACGAGCTGCAGCAGTCTCCCAGGAGTCCCGAATAGAACAGCGCATGCAGCAAGCTCGCTGATGTTTTCTGCCACTTTCTTATCTTTTCCAACAGCACAGCACCCTTTTATCGGCATAAACTGCGACAAACCTTTAAATACAGCGAATGTCTGCATGGCAAGGTCTCTGGTGGGCGAGACAACAATCGCCTGTATGCCCTTCTTTGCTGTGTCTATTTTCTGGAGCATCCCAAGCAAAAATGTGGCAGTTTTTCCCGTTCCGTTTTTTGATTGCACGACCACACTGTCGCCGCTAGCTATCGATGGGATGGCGTCTTTTTGGATTTGCGAGGGGCTGCTGAATCCGTACGCAAATATTCCCTTCAAAACTTCTTCTTTTAAGCCAATATTTTCAAATTCAGAATGTGTTGCCATGAAAAATTTTCAAATTAGATTATGGTACATATGCCAGACAAAAAAACTTCGCATCGCTCGGCAAAAAACAGCGAAATTCCAGGATATCTGAAATGGAGGCATCTGACCAGCGGGCAGCGCGACAGTAGACTGCCCAGCTCGATTCTTTTTCTCATTCGGGTTATTACGCTGACAGACTCTGTCATTTCATTCAACACAGCCAAGCGGCTCACAAACTCTCTTGAGTCCGTCTGCAAGACTGTAGGACATCTCTGCAAGCAGCCTGTGGAGGAAATGCACTATCGCCAGATACTGCACATATTTGGAAAAATATACACATACGAGTCCTCGCAGTTTAAAAATAAAGTGAATCTTATTATTTCAAAAGTGGAAATAGAAAACAGGCTCATGCACTGCGAGAAAAAGGCCCTTGACTGGGTGCGCAGCAGGTACTCAGAGATGGACACAACAGAAATAGACTCAAAAATGGCTCTAGAGATAGACCATCTGTTAAAAAACGATGAAGAGTTCAAGTCCACTCTACTAACAGATGATGCCATCCCTCTTCTACATGCAGACACAAATACTACTCTTCCAAACATAGAACTAACACCCATTAGCATACCGAGTAAGGATGTAAGTGGAGAAAATGAAGAAAGACCAAAAATAACCGTTACAAAGAAAGCCCTGTCTATTCTGGATAGAATCAAGCAAAGAGCACAGGAGAGAAGAGAGCAATACATAAAAATGGAGCAGGAGAAAGAAAAAGAGGTAATAAAGGCAGCACATGCGATATTCACACTCGCCATCACCTCAAACAAGAAGTCTTTCCAGAAGGACTTCATAGAAAAGAAAGTGGCTATTTTTGCACATAAAACAATAACCATAGAAGATGTACTTAAACACCCTCTGACAAAAGAGCTGATAAAAATAAGAGAAACAGAAGACACAAAATATTTATTAGTTGATTTAGAGAAATATAAACACACACGTTTTGAATAAATACAACCAGATCACTTGATGTACAACACTTTGTAGTCCGCCCATATTATAGTTGCCAAAAAAAGCAGGTTAGCAACGACCGTTAAAACATGGAACACTTCGTGGTATCCAAATATCAATGGCCAGGGATCGGGCTTTCTAACTCCATACACTACGCCTCCAACTATGTAGACAAGGCCACCCATCGCACAGAGAAGCCCTAGAAACCTTTCCTTTATTATGTATACAGAAGGAATGAACATAGCAACTGACACACCGTGCACTATGTAGTATATGACATTGATGTAGCGCGGAACAGTTTGTATGAGAAAAACTTTCAGAATTCCAATTACGGCCAATAGATACGTTACCGGGAGCCACTTGAGTAGGTTTGTGGCTGTTGTCTTGTACAGCTCGTTCAGTGCAACTACAACACATGTCTGTGTTCCTGATATCAGCAAAAAGATCGAAGAGTGGTCCAGCTTTTGGAAAAACTTTTCTGCTCTTCTGGTTTTCCAATTGCTCATGTGGTACGTGCTGCTTACTCCGTACAAAATTAGCTGAGATGCAAAATAGATTGACAAATATATTTTACTAATGGACAGCGTAAACATCAAAATGACATAGAGACAGAGAGTGGTGTAGAAGGCTATCCTGTGCACTCTTCCTCTCCAGTATGGCTTGAGTTTGTTTTTGAAGTACCCAGATGATGAATCGGTGCAGTCGTCCGATGTAATTTCATCTAGCGCTGTGTTTTGTTGTGCTTCTTCTATTTTTTCTGTTTCTTTCCTCTTCAAAGGATCCTCAATCTCCATAAAAATTTAATAATCCTCTCATTAAATTAGCAACTTCTGCACGAAAATAAACAAAAAATCAATATGGAAGAAATTCTTTTATTGAACAAACACCATATTTATTTTCTTTTAAACACATACAGAACATAATTAGCCATAATTTGGATGCATAAAGAAGACTTATCACATTGCAATGGTCTAAATGAATTAATCTCTTGGTACTATCTATGATCTGGGAAAATGCTTACAAAGCGCATCGATGACATATTTAAGAGATAAAATCAGAAGCTAGCAGTTGCATTGAGAAAAACAGCTAAAAATAAAACACAATGGAAAATAGAGTAAGGAAAGCGATAGAATAGGTTAATAGTGGTCTAAGATATTATTTATTGTTGGTGCTTGCAGTTTTCCTACATATTACATAATAATTCCCATGGTCCTTTCCCGACTCAAGGATTTCCACAGGACACTTAGCAATAATGTCTTCAAGTTCGTTCGTTCTGAACAAGTGGTAGTATCTGTTTAGGTTGTTTGTGCTTTTCCACCCCACAAAAACATCATTTCCTGTGAGATTGTCGATCTTTTCTATGCCTGGGTTACTGATATTCGAAATACTCAAGAACTTTGACGGCTTGCTCTCTGGGGACTCGCTCCACACATAGATCATGCAGTGCCCTCCTGTCTTAAGAGACTCAATCATGTGCCGCACCGATGCTTCTCTCCGCTCGCTCGTGGACAGATGGTGTATGACAGCTATTGATATGCAGATGTCAAACACGCCTGCCCTAATAGGAAATACATCACCGAGATCGTGCCGAGCATACATCATTCCACTTTGTTTCTCCTTGGCGATGCCCAGAAGGCCTTTTGAATAGTCCAGGGACACGGTGCGCAGAGGATGCAGCGTGTTTCTGCCGTTTCCAGATCCGGCATCAAGTATCACATCGGTATTTTTCACATATTTGCTGTAGAAGTGCTCCACCTTCGGCCACATTTTGTATCTTGTTGCAGAGAACTCTTTTGAAGACTCTTCGTAGAAAGCATGAACGTGTTTTTTTTCGAAGTTTTTCATTCTTAAATATTCTTCGAATAGCCCAAGCCATGAAAATATTTTCTCTTTTATTGCTGCAGTGTAAGAAACAATCTTGCCGCATGCTGAGCTATCTCGTTCCCGGAGAGTGCAGCGTAAAGGTGCAGCTGAGAGATCTTCAGAAAGAAGACCTTGAGCTGATGGAGGCACAGAAGGACACAATTTGTTCGATGGACATGAACACAAACCAATTTATTTTGCCAGTTATTCTTGACGAAATAAAGAGACTGTGCACGATCGAAGGCGTTTCTCCAGATTTTTTTAACATATCTGCAGAAGAGCTTCAAAACATCCTAGATGGAGACTCATTGCAGTCTACGCTCTCTCAGGAGAGAATAACCGACTTTTTAAACATTTTATTTAGTGCAGAAATTGACAATGGATCCCTTGTGTGTGTGGCATGCAATGAAGTGTATCCCATCAACAACAACATAGTTGATTTTGTGCAGAAGGAAGATGTATAACATTGGCAGAACAAAAATAAACTAGAAGCGTTCTTTGCTATTGAGGTCTAATCTTTTATTTTGTGTAGCTAAAACACATTAACTACTTTTTGGTTTCATTTGGAAGAAGTACAGCTCACTATCTGTATCTTCTGGCATTTCCAATTACAGAGAGTGGTGAAAACTGAATCTTTGCTAAGACGTGTGCGTTCTTTTGGAAGAGCTTCTCTGCTATTCCTTCCGTAAGATCGCTTACTAGCCTAATCACGTACTTACCGTCCATTTTTGTTAGCTCTTTGTAAGTGATCCATTTGGGATCAGTATTTTGGCTCGATCCTCTTCTTCCTCCTATTGTGCGGGCTTTTGGCGGCTCTAATCGGCGAATCTGCACACTTGCTCCCGATCCTGCCAGGAATGCCACTCTCTGCTTCTGGGAGTACGATGTCTGCAACAGGTATCCCCCAAGGATGGCCATTTCTACTCGCACAGCCACATCTATCTCATCTATGCCTGGGTGCTGTGCTATCTTTGGCCTTATCTTCTCCAGTATTTTCCTGATTTGCTTTTTTGATTTTAGCGTATTTTCTAGATTCTTTTCATTCAGCCCGTGTGCATAGCAGAACTGTCTTTTGTTCTGTGTATTTTCAAAGTCTCTCACGATTAAATAGTACGACAGATGATCGCTGTGCTCCATTCCCAGATCAAACTTTTTCTTGTCAAATATCAAGTTGCCTGAAATGGCTGCTAGTGTGGTTATCTCTTCTTCTACGCCATACCTAATAGACTCAAGGAGAGTTTTTGCGTCTTTTGGCTCGAGCGGAAACTCAACCATCAGCCTTCCTTCTTCCGTGATGTTTCCGTTGGAGTCTATGGCTCCCAGGAAGTACAGCTGATTGAGCGCAACAATAACGGACTCTGGCAGTGGCGGCTCGATAAAATCAAAAGTGACAAGATTTTTAATCTCAAGACGCGCCATTTTCAAGATCAGAGAGGAGAGCTCGCCGCGCAGTATTTCGGGAATAGTAAACGGCTCCATTTTCTTGTATGTTTCTTCATCGTAGAGTCTGTAGCATATGCCAGACCGCACTCTTCCGGCTCTGCCTTTTCTCTGGTCTGCGCTTGATTTGGAAATGAGAAGCCGCAAAAGCATTTCTGACTGCATTTTAGAGTCGTATATCTTCTGTTTTGAATACCCGCAGTCGATCACATAAACAATGCTTTCTATTGTGATTGATGTCTCTGCTATGTTAGTCGCGAATATAACCTTTCTTCCTCCTTTTTTCTCGAATATTTCATTCTGTGCGTGCATTGGCAGCGAGGAGTACAGCGGAAGAGGAATGAGTTTTTTTTTCAAGTCTCTCTGTCTCTCCATTATCATCCGGCAGCTCTTCTCTATCTCGTCTTCTCCCGTGAGAAAGACTAGGATGTCTCCTTCAGGCTCGTTTTCGCTGATTTTTATCGAAGTTTCAATGGCTTTTTCAAGATACTCGCTTTTATCTGATGGAGCATATACCACCTCAATGGGATACGATCTGCTCTTTATGTGGAGGGTCTCTGCGCCTGGAAAATAGTCAAGGAACTTATCCGTGCTGAGCGTAGCGCTCATTATCACGACTTTCAGGTCTTCCCTTATTTGTATCGCATCTTTTACTAGCCCCAGCAACAAGTCGATATTTATTGTTCTCTCATGCACTTCGTCTATTATTATGGCTTTGTATTGAGAGACTTTTGGGTCATCGATAAAGTCTCTTAAGAGGGTTCCGTCTGTTACGTACCGTATTCTGGTGTTTTCTGATGTGCACTCTTCAAACCGCACACTGTACCCAACCAGCTGGCCCAGGGCCTGCCCCATCTCTTCAGAGACTCTTTTTGCAATGCTTATGGCAGCTATTCTCCTGGGCTGCGAGCAAATAACGGACTCACCGTACATTTCATACACGTATTTAGGCACCTGCGTGGTTTTGCCCGTGCCTGTCTCGCTGGAAAGAACAAGAACCTGGTTATTTCTGATTAGCTGCTGTATTTCGTTTTTTCTGTCTTCTATTGGCAGAGCCATTTTTTGTAAATTTTTTATGCATTTATTTTCTGGCAACTACACTTACAATATTCTGCAGAAATAAAAATGTAAATAAATATACAAAATACTGCTAGTTTCTAAAGTGTACAGAAGGCTTCTGTGCGAGAACACGAGAAAAGGTACTGGGCAAAGTATTTTTATTGTTGAAGAATATGTTCTTTTTTTGCCATCTTTAGTCCTAGTAGGTCTCCTATCTTATCAATCACAGAAAGAGCCCTGTCTAAATCTTCTTTTGTGTGGGCAACTGACAGACAGAACCTGACCCTACTGCTGATAACAGGCGTAGCGGGGTATCCTACAACCACCACTGCAATGTTCTCTTTAAGACACATCCGAGAAAATTCTGCTATTTTCCCGGGGTTGTACAGCATCAGAGAGACGACAGGCGAGTCTTTTTCTCCGATGACAATAAACCTCATTTTCAGAAGAGCGCTCCGAAAGTATCTTGACTTTGCTGATAGCTTCTGTATCTCGGCAATGCCCTCCTCTGTTTGCATTCTCTTAAGACACTCAAGGATCTGTGTCGCCACAACAGGCGGCATCTGCTCTCCTCTGTTTATTAGCTCTGATCGCTTTCTCAGCAAATTGATGATTTTTTTATTGGCTGCAATGTACCCCCCAGATGCCCCAAAGCTCTTCGTGAATGTCCCCATCAGAAGATCAATATCTTTGAAGTCCACGCCTAGATACTCGCAGACACCACGGCCTGTCTTTCCCATTGCGCCAATCGAATGCGCTTCGTCTATAAAGAGGTAGAAAGGATACTTTTTCTTCAGCTCGATTATTTCGTTTAGTTTCACACACTCTCCCTCCATGGAGTAGATCCCCTCGACAATCACCAGTATTCTGCCTATCGGTCTGTGTGTTCTGTCCTGTCCCTCGATTATCGCTTTTCGCAGGATCTTCTCGAGCATGGGAATGTCATTGTGCGCAAACCTCTCGACTTTGCACGGGCTGATTCTTGTCCCAAAAAAGATGCTAGAGTGGTTCAGCGAGTCTGCAATGATCAAATCGCCTTTACTCACCAAATACGGGATAGAGCATGCATTGGTGGCAAACCCCATGGGAAACACAATGGCGTCTTCTTTGTAGAGAAACCCTGATATTTCCTTTTCCAGCTTTTTTACAAGAGGACACGGAGGAAGAAACTTAACAGGCCCGCAGTATGCGATAGGGTGCTTGTGCAGTGCCTTTTTCGCTTCGTTGTTGTACTTCCCAGCGTATCCAAGGTAGTTGTACGATGCCAAATTCAGACACACTTTCGACTCTCCTGTGAGACTCATGTCTCCGTCTTTATTTCGGGCTCTGATCAGAACCTTAACATTTCTCCCGGGTATTCCCGTGATGGGCCTGTTCCAGCAGTCGCTTAGACGGCCGTACAGACGCCTTGTGTAGAAGCTCCCAGATGCTGTGAAAAGAGGCGGCCTTCCATCGCTTGCAAACATGTGCTTGTACAGCTTTGGGAAGATCATTTGTCCAACAAAGTCTCTTGCGTGGCCTAACACAATAACTATAAAGTACGAAAAGTATGTGGTGACTATTGTAAAAAAAGGGATGTATATGTCTGACATAGTATTGCACTAAACAAGAAATAATTTATTATTGAAATATGAGGGTCTGTTTGGTGGTCTAGGTCTATCTTTGAAAATTATGAATTCTCGAGGGTGCAGCAAAAATGCACAGCTGCAATGCACAAACAAACGGCTTCTGGGTATGCTGTGTCTCTGAAACAAATTTAAAATAGGATACGCAAAATCAGAAGAGTGTTTATCTTTTACACGAATTAATTAATAACACACTTTGATTAAGTTTTATCTGCTAATTAACCAGTTAGCAAAAGATTTGCAGACATCAGCAGTGCTTTGATAGAGAATAGCCTGAGAATTCTATTCTGTGCTGTCTATCACACTCTTCAAAAGAGCAAATCACTATTTTACTGTCTGTTCGCATTTCTTCAATACAATGTGCATTCTGTACTGGTGTATATGGCACTCTTCTACTGCTGCTTTTCATTGCAGCTAAAAATTTTATCAAAAGTAAGATGGTAGAATATAAAATTACATTTAATCTATGGTGTGCAGATGGCAGCTCTATGCAGGATTGCTTGTTTTTACTGGCTTCCATGTGCCAAGTGTTTCTCCCATCTTCACAGCGCCCTTTGTCTTGTGCAGTGTAAAGTCTTTGGGTGCTTCAAAAACACACACGATTGTAGAGCCCAGGTTGAAGTGCCCAAGCTCATCACCCTTTGCGTATTCATAGTACTGTTTGAACACTTCAACCGGTCTACTGCGCATGTACAGCACTTTGTTCGTTCTAAACTTGGCTACAGAGGTGGAAATACTTCCCACCCCGACACTCCCCACTGCAATTGTGTGGCACTGTCCGTGCTCGTAGAAACCTGAAAAAATAACGCGTTCGTTTTTCGAGAGAAGGCCGGGGAAGTATTTCATAGGAAGATTTCCCACAGAAAAAAGCAAAGAAGAAACGTGTATAACGCTTGTAAGAGTAAAATCGTAGAAAGAGTGGAATCGGTGGTAGTCATACGGTGCTAAGTATATCACGACTTGGAAAAGATCGTTTTCTTTTTTTACATTCGATAGAACGCCGTTGTTCAGGAGCAGCTCTTCTATTTTGTAGTTCACTCCCTTGATCTGGCATTTTATGCTATCTGCGGCGTGCCCTGCATATATTATGGTGCCATCTGCAGGAGAAACTATTCCTTCTCCAATTGCTCGAGATGATTTTTTTATTTTTCGTGTGAACAAATCGTTCACAGATGTGTATTCTCCTATAGACTCTCTTTCGGCATCTTTCAGAGAGATTCGCAGCACTTTTTGCACAACTCCAAGCACGGGAATGTTCAGAGGCCATGGCACGTATATCTTGCATGCATAGCCCTGTATTCTGCTGTAAGTGCGAAGCGGAAGAGTTCTAAAGACCGAATATCTTATGTCTAGCTGTTCGTTGGAAATGTACTTATCGTATATTACATTGAGAAGAATAGTTGTAAAAAGGAGTAGACTTGCGAAACACAAAACATTTTTAATAGACTTTCTAAGTTTCCTGCCTCTTTTTATCTCTAATGGATGGTGCTCGCTGTCTAGTGGGGGTTGGTGCAGTTTGAAGCAATTCATATTAAATTTTTTATTCTTCCCAGTGGTTTTAAGTTTGCTTTTAGTAAACAAAAATGGACAAAGACGTAGCAGTGATAGGCGGAGGAAGCTGGGGGACCACAATAGCAAAACTGATCGCTGAAAATAAGCAGAAAAAAGGGGAAAATGGAGCAGTGAGAATGTGGATATACGAAGAGACGGTTAATGGCAAGAAATTGACAAGTATAATAAATGATGAACACGAAAATGTAAAATATCTCCCAGAAGTCAAGCTGCCCTCTAACCTTGTGGCGTATCCAGAGATCAAACAAGCCATAGAGGGCGTGGATGTGATAGCTCTGGCTGTGCCGCACGAGTTTTTAGATGGAATTCTGCAGCAAATAAAGAGAAACATATCAGACAAAGCAATTTTAGTAATTCTCACAAAGGGATTCTTCTTCAGAAAAGACAAGATAGAGCTCATCTCGCAGAGTATAAAGAACTACATGAATGTCCGTGTGTGCACGCTGATGGGAGCGAACATTGCAGGAGATGTAGCCAGCGGAAAACTAAGCGAGTGCACCCTGGGATACCAGGATGAAGGCGCCATAGATGAAGTGCTTGCAGTGTTCAGCTCGGAAAACTTTAAAGTAAGCCCAGTGCTCGACTACGGAAGCGTTGAAGTGTGTGGTACACTGAAAAACGTGGTGGCTGTTGGATACGGAATAGTATCAGGGCATGGACACGGCGTAAACACTCTGGCTGCAGTTATCCGAAATGGGCTGCTTGAGATCGTCAGGTTCTGCGATGAGTTTATTGCACAAAACAGCACATCTGCTGCAATTCCCGTCGTATTCTTTGAGTCTTGCGGACTGGCTGATTTAATCGTCACCTGCACCTCAGGAAGAAACTACAAATACTCAAAGATGGCGGCTGAAAAAAAGATCTCCATACCCACTGTAGAAAAAGAAGAAATGAACGGACAAAAGTTGCAGGGCTACTCCACAATAAAAGAGCTTATTGTGTTCATGGAGTCAAAAAAAATAGAGAAGAAGTACCCCTTCCTCTACGCGATAGGAACATCAGCTACAACCGATATGTCAGCTGATAGAATTCTCAAAGTGATACAAGAAAAATAGCTGGTTTCCCTAAAAGAAAGATTTGGTCAAAATAAAAACAAACTTTACTTTCTTTCTACTTTATTCTTTGATTTACAAAATGTGTGGTGGTGTTGATGCACTGTGCAGAGTGATTGTGTCTTCTGTTCTGTTAAATAGAAGAACTCTTTTGGAGCACAGAAAAAATATTCTTCTAATTACTTCCTGTCTTTCTTTTTTTAGCAACTGGCACACGTCTTTTATGTTCACTGCGGACTTCTCTATTAGAATTAGCGTGATCAAATAGTCCAGGGTGTTTGTAGGTGTTTTATACCTAGAGTATGCCAGATTTGCTTCTATTCTCTTCTGGTGGTACTTCATCATCAGTAAAACTTTTCTCTCCTTGCTTTCTGGCGTACCACGTGCTTGGAGTTGTGCATATATGAAGTTGACAGTTTCTATTGAAAGGTTGACAAAGGGCATGAAATAGTTGTGGAAGTCAATGCTGCAGTCTGGCTTTGAAAGCACTGCAGATTCTTCTCCGTCTTTGGCTGTTTTTATGTTTAGCGTCTTTGCCAGCTGCAGCACTTCTCTTGATATCTCTGAGTACTCTTTTACCTTCTCTATTCTGCTGACTTCTTCTTCCAGAGACTTTCTTTCTTTTACAAGCTCATTCAGTCTTATCTTTTTGATGTGCAAACTAATCACCTCGTCTTTTGACTTTGAAAGCTCAACCTCCATTCTGTCGTTCTCATTCTCCTGTTTTTCTATCTCTTCTCGCACTCTGCACTCTTTTTGCAGGCTGCAAAAGTCGTGCAAAATATTCACTCCAAACTGCCCGCACACTCTTTTGAGCTCTTGGAGCACTTCAGCCAGCTCTGAGTCTTTTTTGCACACTCTTTTTTCAGTTACTCCAAAGAGCCTGCAGATGGCCAGGAAGCCTGAATGGTCTTCAGGATCTAGCTCAGCGCCTGCGTACTTTTCAAGAAGATCCCAGGGAACTCTTCCCTCATTCATGCTAAACATTCTAAAATGCAAAATTCATTTGAAGTTCGAATAAAATATTCATGCCAACTGAAGACAGAGCGTCTGCAGAGGAAGAGACTCACCAAAGGCCTATCACAGAAAACACCAGCAAAAGAAAATAGGAAAGATGGGAGCTTGTTTTAATTACTGAGGAGTGCCTGTAATTATACATTCTCTGAATTTAATTAAGGTGTGTTTGTTTTGCATGAAAGAAATAGATAGTCTAACAACACTTATAGAGAAAGCCGAGTGGGCGTCTTTTGTCTACAAAGAAGCAGCGTCCGCGTACAAGGCGTCCTACCAAAAGTTCACAGAAGCAGCAGTGCACCCAAGGAGCCGTGCGTGGCGGTCTGACGCTTTGATCATCTCTCTTCTAAAGCACTGCGACATACAAGGACTTACTCTCCAAAGCATACAAAATGTCTCTCAAATAGTCTCACAGGACTTGGACAAGGCAATACACGCAGCACAGGTCCACATGCAGGAAAACAGAAAAACAGAAGAAGAGTGGGAGGGCATTCTACACGCGGAATTTCAGAAAGTCCAAAAGCTGGTCCAGAAAAGAGGAAAAGCCCTCACAGGATCGTGCGATCTGTGGAAGGCAGACTTTGACCTAAAGCAAGCCATCATGGCATACGTGAGAAAAGAAACAGAAATGCAGGAGAGCAAAAATAGAATACAGCAGGCGAATGTCCTAGCATACAATGCACTCCTAAGATCCTACTACAGAACACTGAACGAGTACATGGCAAGTGCGTCAGGACACTTAAGCATTCTAGCAAATGATGTAGCAGACCACATGAACACCCTAAACAGCCCAGAGGTTGTGCAGCCTGAAATGTGTCTAGATACTCCGCAATCCGTCTCATCAGAGATGCTCCTAAACAGCCCAATCTCAGAGACATCGCAGCAGGAAAGAAACAGATTCTCTGAAGTGTACAGCCAGGCCCTGCAGGAGAGCAGAGGAAAAGAAGTGCTGGAGCCAGCGGAGAAGTTGGCCATCCGCGGATGCGGTGTATTTATAGTGCCCAAAATATCTACAGTTCATCTGGTGTTTATCGTGTGCACAAACACCGATTATTTGCACGCATTTTCAATTCAGTCCATACTATCTAAAATATCTACCGATTTATTTATAGAGGAGCTTGGGTGCCCGTTTAAATCTCTGCAAAGCGCGCTCGAGAAGGGAAGTGCCACACAGATAGAAGAAATAAACAGCCACCTCCTGAAAAATATCAGCAGTCTCCCCGTGATAGAAAAAGTGTTTCCAATTCTGCTGAAAAATAAAAACATAAAGCTGCAATCAGGCGGAAGAGATATAGAAATATCTGACTCCAGCTCCATGTTTTTTTCCAGGAGAATCAAAATACAGGCAAGCTCGGTGCAGATGATGCGCAAGTTCTACTCTCTGATGAAGCAGGAGACAAGCGAAGTGTGCCACACCTCGGATGAAACGGGCGTCCCAAACGAGTTTATGGTCTCCTGGTCGCCTGCTACGTATGAAAATCCATAGTAAATGAAACTTCAATTGCCTCATTTCCTAAACTGCCGATATAGCGGATTCTGCAAAATTTCAGTAGCGCTCAGTGCTCGTAGTATTTATATAGCTCTGTCTAGCGGTTTTTGTGCTTCTGCAGCTTCGATATTCTATTGCTCTACAGGGTGCATGCTATCGATGTAACTTTCTATATCATTGTAGTTGAAGGCATAGAATGCAAGCACGTTGAGCATGTACGTGGTGAAGAGCCACACAGCCCACTGGCCGTTGGTTAATATAAATATAAACTCTATCATTCTCATTCCGTGGATCAGGCCCACAAGAATGGTAAAGGTGTTGTGAAGGGATATGCTGGAGGTTATTATGGGAAGAAAGCTGAGGAATATGACTGCAATGGAAAATATAAACGCAAATACCGTGAAGAAGATTTTGGTTTTAGTCCATTGTATCGTTTTTACTTGGCTGGGCATTGTTTGTGGTTAAAGAAGGGCTTTAAAGAGAGAAGATGAAACAGAGTTTGAAAATTCAAACAATTTTGCAAATTTTATAAATGCACAAGTCAGACCATGATATTCTAGAAGAGTTTACACAGAAAAGGCTGAAAGAGCTGCAGCAGCAGATAGCTCTGAGAGAAATAACCGACGAAACATTGCTGTGCAAAAAAACAAAAACAGACACGCTTATCGTGCATTTCTACGATAAAAGTTTCAAAAGGTGCAAGGAGATGAACGCTGTGCTGGAAGAGATAGCGCCAAAATACCCAGCAATCCAGTTCCTGTGCGCTGAGGCAGAAAAGTTTCCTTTTTTGACAGAGCGCCTGGAGATCGAACAGCTTCCATATTTGGCCACTTTTTCAGAGGGCTACTTCATGGGAGGGATAATAGGCTTTCAGGACATAGGCGAGGAAAACCTGGACAAAAGCCTGCTAGAACAGTATATTAAACAGTCCAGCCTGCTTGATAAGAAGGTCCAGAAAAGTAACCAATAATAAGAGAAAGAAAAGCATAAAAGAAACATGGGAGAGAAGAAGGATGTTTGAAAGACTGGAAGAGATAAAACAAGTATGTAAAGATAGAAAAGAGTTTGCTGCGCTTGTAAAACAGGCAATAGAGATAAAAGAAAAGAGTATAGAGTCAAAAGAAAAGCTGCTGGAGCTAATGGACATGCTAATTATCAACAGGGTAAACATGGTGGAAGAGATCCAATTTATAGAAAAAAGAAAAGAAATACAAAAGCTCCACAGCTACATTGAAAGCAGCGCCTCGATCAGCGCAGGCTTTCGGCTGGAGTGCGACTCTGCTCTGTACTCTTCCATGGGTGTCTCTGAACTTGTAAAGTTCTTTGAAGATTCTGCGCGCATCCACAGCTCTAAAGGCCTGGAGAAGATGCAGATTGAAAAACCCAGCAAAACGCAAAATGAGTCCAAATAAAGAACGGCAAAAGGCAAGGAAAATCAAAGTATGGCAGTGAGCGCAGTTCCATACTTATTCGTGCACTCTGCTGTCTTTTATCCTCTGTCTGCTAGATGGCAGTTATACTATTGGCACTCATGAAAACTTTAGTAGCTGAAATTACAAGGCCAGCTGGCTTTGAATAGGTTTTGAAATAAAATGAATTCGGTAAAGCAGATAAAGAGTTAAAACTTTTGTATTTATTATAGTCATGTGTTTGCAGAAATCTTCCTGTATTTCTGTCCTGAACATCCTCGCCAATATGTTTTAGTGTCTTCTTCTCAACTAGATCTATACACTACAAGCATTCAAACTTTTTCATTTCAAAAAAATGCACTATTCGCCCCATGAGAGCGCGTCTCTTAAAAACTGTCTTGGCTTTACTTTCAATCTTTTTCCCTTGGTCAAGAAAGACTTTGTATACACTATAAACAGCTCGCTGTATAATAAAGTCTGCAGCACAGATCCCCAGAGGAGCAGATGGCTTTTGACTTTTCCTACTATGAGCCAGTTGACTATCCAGGATAGCATGTACAAGAACCTGTACATACCCAAGAAGAGCACATAGTGGATGGTAAGTGTTTCTCCCTCGCCTGCCTTGTGCAGAAGAACCAGCTGCGGAAGAATGGAAATAGACTCGAGCACAACAGACGATGCCCAGAGCCAGTCAAGCCCCATTCTTATGAATCTGTACTCATTCGTTAGCGGTTTTGTGAACAAAAACCCTCCACTGATAAATGCAAAGGCAATTATGTAGGTGATGGGAGTGTCATCGTACTCATTGTCGTAGGAGTAGAAATAGTGGTGGACCATCTTGTAGATGATGTGCGACTGCAGGGTAGTAAACAGTATTTTCATGATTCCGTTGTAGATCATTCTGTTGGACGAAAATAACTGTCTCGGATAGAGAAGGAAGAAGATGATATCTAAATACCTCCAAACATACACTGTTAGATACAGTATTTGTGACTTTAACGAGATTCCTGAACACGATCTTGTTCTTTTCATCTTGACAATCAGAACAAGCATGGACAGAACGTGGAGTATGTCCCCTGTTGTCCGGAAAATGAACGCAGCTATTCCCTCTAAGCTAATGCCAATACTCATGGAGAAATAAAAATTCAAATTATTTGTATTCCAAATTAAAAGAAAAGCAAGACAATCGAACGCAAAGATAATAGCTAATCTCTGTCTGTATTTAGAAAGCCCAAACAGTCCACCTCGCAGAACATCAATAACTCCCATTTCCATTGAGTAAGTGTCTGGATAAGGAATAGTTTTTCATATGAGCAAAGAATAGAGAGTAAATACGTATCTTTGACTGTTAGACTATTTCCACACGTATCTCAAATAAAGTGAACATCAAGTTCATGCGCTAGTAAAAAACAGATCGATCTAGCAACAGATAAGGAGTATATAAGTATTTACTGTTTATTTTATAAGCTGATATCTTCCAGGTATTTGTAGTCAAATCTAAAATTCTCTTTTTTTCTGCTGCTCCACGACACCTCATAGTCAAAGAAAATGTATGTTCCCTGCTCGTACTCTTCCGTGATGATGTTTGGCTCCTCTAGCCTCTGGAACCACGCCATGTACTTCGTGTGAAACCTCCAGGAGTAGTTCTTTAGCTCCTTTGCAGCGTAGTACTGGCACGGCGTGTTCTGATGGAAGTAGAAGATAAAGAAAAGAGTGTCCATGTCCAGCTTTTGGTAGAACTCAGGACTGCTTAATAAGATGCTTGCTTTGCTCGGAAAATGTGCTGGAATGTCCGCACACTCTTCTTTTGTATTTTGTATTGTGCATACTCCGTTGTAGTTCAGATAGTTACGCATACTATTTACAAGTTGCAGACTCATTGGAGTTTTTATTTCTTCAATTCGTTTTGATAAAGAGTGAAAGAGGGTTCTGGCTTCGCTTTTTTCTTTTTTCTTTTCTTTCTGCGGCGAGGCCTGGGCTTCTGGAATCACAAAGACCTCTTTTTTCTCTTCTATCTCTTTTTTTTTCCGCCGCGCCTCTCCTGCGGTTTCTCCCTTCCATGCTTCCTCCAGGGTGGAGATGAGCACGGGTTTGCTGATCAAATTGTTTACAAAGTCAAGGATCGATGTTTTTCCATCGTAGTACGAGTTTAGATGGCTGTCCAGGGGCTCTCCTTTCTCCACTGCCTGCGCCAGAAGAGACTTCATGTACTCCACCGTTATCTGTGTTGTTTTTTTTGTTTTTATTTCCAACTCCAGGTTCTTCAGCACATTTGCTATCTTTTCAGTCTCCGGGAGGTTGTAAAACGCCTCTGCCTTCTCCTGCAGATACTTGCTCACCACTGCCTCTACCTCTATCATCACATCAACGCCTTTTTTATACACCTCTATCTCTTCTTTTATTTTATCTTCCTTGGCTCCGCTTTTCAGCATCTCTCTCAGTATGTTGAGTTTTTTCACTTCCTTTTTCAGCTCTTTCTCTAGTTTGCTTCTATCGTGAAATGTAAGAATTGACGTCTTTGCGATTATTTTTATTTCTCCTCCTGTTTTTGTGTACCCCAGCTTCTTGATCAGACTCAATACTATCTTCCCGCTCTCCTGTATTTTCTTGCCTGTTCTCTCTATTTCAACGAGCTTCTTCCCAGACATCGTGTTTATTGCAAATAAAAACCAGAAATTTATTCGGAAATTGACGCGAAAAGTGAGTTATTTTTAATTTGGATGCGCAGAACGCCAGAAGAAACAAAAGTAGAACAAGAAGCCCCCAGAGACTGTGGGAAGAAAAAAGAGCCGCTGATCTTCAGCCTAGAAAACGTATACGAGGGCGTACCTGTCTCGATGAAAGGCACACTAAAATCAGCCATTAAGACAGCCTCTCACTCTCAGAATAGCGCAGATGCATATTTTAATAATGATTGCTCCGGGGGCTCAAGTGTTTTAGATAGAAAATTAGACGGCACTGTGCCATCTTTAGAAAGTAGCCAAGACATTAAAAGTGCTAATTTTGTGGAATCTCTGGAGATATCTGCATACGAAAAAAAGAGCACAGCACTGATCAGACACATCCTTACATCCGCGCTGAACCTCGAGCTCAGAAACTTAGACACCCCACAAAAAATATCGCTCTCTTTCTCTGTGTTCTCTTCAAAAAGATACCTGATGGGAGTGGTAGCAGGCCTGAACGACCTTTTAAAGCATCTCTCAATCTCCACTGAGTACTATCTTGATGAAAAAACTGAAAAAACCCCGCATGGCTCAGAGTCTTCTCAAGTGACCGTCAGTAATTCCAATGGTGAGACAATATACTCTATTTGGAAAAACACTTTTCAGCCATAGAACTATTAAAATGCTATATTAATAAATAATGAATTTAACCTCATATTCTGTACAAATATGCAGTGCTCTGCACAAGAGCCCACGTTTCCTGTAATTAAAATGGATTCACTCAGGTAAATTAAACCAAGGCATAAAATTAAAATTCATTTTTAATTTCTATGCAATACTTCATAATACTTACCACCAAAGGCCCTGCTGTCTTCCAAAGAACCAGCCATGTCCATGGAAGAGTTCTGTTCGCAGGCTCTGAGTATGCTGTGCCCATTGAAGATACCCCCCTTGCCAAAGATGAGGATAAATCTGCAGCCCATCTGCAGTCGATAGTCTGGTCTGCAGTGCAGGTGATCCAAGCGCAAAGATCGGGCAAAGCTCTTCCCAAGAAGAGAAAGCTGATAAAAGTGCTTAAGATGGATGACACCACTTCGGGCAGCGGCAGAGTAACCACGAAAAACAAAACGAGCGTGATGGGAATCCTCCTGGGCACTGGAATAGCCAAAATGTTCAAGAGCTCTTTTGGAAAACAAAAAACAGCGGAAACAAACGAGTATCTAGAGGGCGAATTCTCCACATGCGATGAAATATTTAAAAAAGAAAAACCCATTGAGCCCCTTATTGCCTTTGAAGTGCCAGACAAGAGCGAGATGTTCCAGTGCAAGTTCAGCATAGTGTTGAACGACGACTCCGAGACTCTTCCTCTAAAGCCGCAAACACACCAAAAAACTCTGCTAGAGTCCACAGAAGCAGCAAACGCCATTTTGAAAGATGTGCAAAAGAATTTCTACGTTGGAGAGTTTGCGTTTATTCTGGGCCTGGCAAAGAGCAAAATCTGCATTGTGGAGGTAGGAAGGTGGCTTTTCTACAACGACTACACAGAAATATTCAGTAATCTGCTGAGCATCATTGAAATGCTTATCTCTGTATTCATCAATACAACGATCAGATCGGTCTCCAGCGAGTACATAACTGAAGACATAAACGAGTACATGCCTGCGCTTAGAATGCAAGACTATTCGCAGATAATCTACAAATCAGCCGCCAGAACTGAAGCCATGCAGAGAATATTGGACAACATGAAGGAGCTGAGTGATAAAAAGCTTGTGAATGCTGCGATGGCTACAGCATCTTCTTCCATGCTGACCTACTTCGAAGAAGTATCGCGTGTGATCTACTCCCCAGAGTTTATCAAATACATTGCGTCCGTGGAGGAGAACATTTCAAAATACAAAAAAAAGTGCAAGTCAGAAATAGTCGCAGCAGAAAGAATGTTTAGCTGTAATCTGACCTTTTTATTTGTTGATGTGTACCACCGCATTATAAAGTACAGACTGTACATCACCGAAGCCATCACAGCGCTAAAAAAAGGATCGTCAATGAAAAACCCTGATTTTTCTGGCACGATGGGAAACATAAGCACATCAGATGAGGTGGAAGGCCCTGCCACACCGTGCGACTTTTTTGCAAAAGAGATAAGCTTTCTCAGTGACCACAACATTCGGCTGACTGAGCTCCTGAAAGCCACTGAAAGATTCAAAAAGATCAAATCGCTAAAAGACTCTGGAATTATCTTCCCGGACTGCATTGATGATTTCATTGAGACGTATGAGCTGACTAACGGCATAGTTATCATCACACGCGATAACATTGTTTTAGTCAACGGACAGCACGTAACTTCTGTTATTTCAAAAAAAGAAATTATTGGATGCATTCCCGCCTCGCAGGACACAGACTACCCCACCACGCACATAGACCTAGCTGTAACATGCATATACCCCCCGAGCGCAAATTTTGTAACCGATGTGGTAAACCACGTTCGGGTGCACTGGATTCGCCTAAACTTCAAATGGGACGGAAATCAGGGCAGATTTATTGATGCGTGCCAGTGCAGAAATGTGTCTACAATTGCAGGGCTGGAAATGAGGCTGCGTGACAACACTGTGGCAATTGAAAAATCCTTGAGAAAAAGAATTGAAAAAGCTGATGTAAAAAACAGCCACAAAAGAATGCTGGCCATCAGAGCACAGAGAGAAGTTGTGCCTACTGCTGATCTCTACACGTTTGGACAGAAGAACAAAATAAGCGAGTGCCTCCTTTTCAAAATCAAGGAGTGGATAGACTCTTCTCTAAGGGAGTACGCAGACTCTCTATCTTCCATCTCTGTGGTAGCTGATCCCTCTGATCTCTCTTTTGAAAGAAAACTTTTCAAGGAAGTTAGCGAAATCATCAAATACCACAGCCCCATGAGAAAAACGTACAATACAGAAAAAAATGAGTTTAGCTGTGTAATGGCTGATCCATACACCTTGGGCGCGGGAGTGAAGGTATTTGTAGAGTATCTGTCGTATGTCTACAGAATGCTATCTCCACAGGACGCCCTTACATACTCTACCTCTGCAATGAGTGCGCTAACATCGGTCCACGAGATAAGAAATCCTGCGCTTTCTAATGATGAGTTCCTTGAGCTGGCCATTGGATGCTCCAGGTCTCTGGCTGTTCCTGACTCTCTGAACAAGAACGAGTTCCTCCTATCGCTGCTCATGGTTCGGTTCTTTACGATTGCAGCGCCTGATATCGGACTATCTAACTATCTAGCCCTGCTGTCTCCACTCTTTTTGTTCAACTCCCAGGATCTGGTAAATTTGCCCAGATGTGCAAGCGAGTGAATTCACTTACACTCACCAAGATGTCTGCAATGAAAATTTAAAGTGCTGTTTTCTCAATGGCTCTGGTCGCCTTTTTGGCTATTTTTAGCAATGGGCTGTTTAGCTTTCTTAGCAAAATCTTTCTTGATTTCCACAGGCTATGCAGCTCTTCCATGGTCTTTGGTGGCGCATGCGATGAAATAAACACTTTCTGTACACTTTTGTTTGAATTCTGCATTTCTCTCCAGATTTTTGTGCATTTATTTATTTATTTTTTAGTGCCCATGTCCCTTTGGGATATGCGGACATGATGAGCAAAACTATAGTTATCCCTGTCTGATTGTGATGATAAAAGTACTCTGATCCTTTATAGTATAAACACCTCGTCTTTAATTACTTGCTCGCACAAATGCACTGTTGTCCTCTCTGAATGAGTCCCTTCATAAGAACAATCCAAGCACGACCTAAACTCAATGAGTATTTTTAAATTTAAAACTGTACTATGCTTAACTCTCTTAACTCTTTCTTAAATAAATACTGCCATTCATTTACTCCTCTTCTTTTCTTCTCTCTTGTAGACTCTCTTCTATTTAGCAATAATTTATCCACTACCTGTACACTTTTCAGAAAGTTCAGCTATTGGAATAAAAATAAAAAAGTGTACGGAATATAAATATAAATTCTCTTTATTGAACAGCAGCACAAATAAGAGCATAAGAAGTCATTGTTAATTGAAGAGAAATTTAAAGAGCTGATAATTCGATAGCTACTAAGCATTGTTCTACAACCAAATAGTAAAGAAGTTCCTATCACTCTACCACTTACTGCACCTTACTACCTTACAATGTGCTGAGCTATTTAGCAGAAAAAGAAAGTCCCCACAGCATTCGAAAGAGAATGTATATGGCTATAACTCAATGCAGGTATAGTGCATACTCTCCACAAGAGACACTTAGACTATTCTAAAGACGCACACTCCACTAACTCTCCAATAAGCCCGCTCTAACCCCGCCAAAAGATTCTATTTCCCGCCAATACTTGCAAATTGGGCAAATTAAAATTGGGCTGAAAGGTATTTAAGAAGACAACTTTTCACTCTCAGAATTTCAAGGGAGCTCGGTCTTCCCTCCAGCACAGCGCGCGAGAATCTCGGTGCAGGGACTGCAGGCAAACTGTGCGAGCAGCCTGAGGCTGGGCTACCTCCCGGGTGGTACTCTCCTCTGTTCCCTCTTGAAGGATGGGGCAGCCTCTGGGATCATTACTCTTGCGAAGTAGACATGTCTTGTCTCTTAATCCCTGGAGCAATCTAGCATTCTGGACAGAGACATGAACTATGAACCATCAGGGTGTAACCATCGGAAGTATCAGCTCTAGCGCTGGTCACTGACCTCGCAGTTCCTAGCGTTGAGGCTCGAAATAGTGCAAACGGGGGCTTTGCTGTGCTGTGGCAGAAATTCTCTCTTTACCACCACTGAAAAACACTGAAAACATCGAAGAATTTCACAGTTCTCCACTACTAAATAAAAGAAAAAAGAAAAAGTGTCCAAGCACAGTCAGATGCAGGCGCAAGGCTGGGCTTGTAGATTTAGAAGAATAGGAATCCTTTGTAACTCTGCCCGATAAGCCCCGAGGCTTTATATCTTAAACTCTTTCCATTTTTATTATAGGAATTGCTTTATAATCCATATTTTCAAATGAATTAATTCTTTCTTCTGCCAAACAAACACTGGATTCACTGTAGGACATTTAATATATTTTTGTGTATTTGTTTAGTGGCTTGCAGTAGAATGCTGTTACTTCTAGTACGCACCTATTGCTGACTGTTTGGTAGCAGCACATGCGATCTAGTGCACAAAAGAAACCTGAAATAACCAAAACAACTCTCTTTATTTATAACGACTGTCAAATCTCTTCCAGATTTCTTTAATCTGCATGTTTATTTCGCCCAGAGTCAGCATCATTTTCATGTACTCCTCGTGTGTGTTCTCTCTTGTCTCTTTCTGTCTGTGGTTTACATACTCTACTATTCTTTTGTGTGGTATATTCAGCGCTTTCGAGACTATTTTGAGGTTTTTCTTCGTCAGCTTGATGTCATGCCTGTAAAAGTACGAGTCTAGCTGGTCTATCTGGCTCTCTGTTAATTCTGAGTTTCTCCCTCGTGGCTTCCTATGCACTTCCTCCATCTTCTTTCTAGTCCGAATAATAATATGAACTTTTATTCTAGGAAATAGGTTATATTAAAAAACTAACTAATGCTTCGATTTGACTTTTTTATACATAGGATGCGTCCAACCCGTGGTCCATTTGTGTGGCACTTATGAAAAAGACACTCTTTGATTTTCTCGTGCTCTATTACTATATATAGCACAGATATGTATACACACAGAGAATAACCCGAGAACATCCAAACATTGTTCTCTTCATCCTGTAAACATCCCTTACACAGCTGCTGTAGAATAAAGAAAGAACGGCGTGCTTTAAAGCCTGAAAGTTGCAGAGTCTTTCACCTGCTTTTCTATTTTATGTTCATTCGAATAAACCCTTTTACGTCCTCATAGCTGTCCATTCCCACAACAAGAGCTCTTTTGTCTCGATAGGACTTGTACTCTATTGTCTTGCTGTCGCAGTACGACTCAACGAGCAGAAAGTCTTTGTAGTTCAAAAAGTTGCTGAATATGTACGACTCCCACGACTGTATTCTGTTCATTCTTTTTTCCCACAGGCGAATTTGCTCCAGCACGTTCTCGTTTATAGGATACATGCTGTTCTGGTTCAGATAGAGCCTTATCTGTCCTGCTGTTATGCCGCACGCAAGGGCCTGCCGTATGCTCTCTTCGTTAATCATCGAAACTATCATATTTGGAAAATCGCGCATTTTTATGCTGAAAAGGGAAATAATAAAGATGTCCAGAGGGCTGTTGCTGTATATGTACAATCTAAAGTTGCTTTCCAAAAGAAGAAACTTGCTGCTCCCCTCTTCATCGTTAAAAAGCAGCGAGAAAGAGGGAGAAAAATAGACGAGCCCTTCCTCGATCACGAGCAGCCCAAGAGACTCAAAGAGGCCTAGCATCCTGGAGTGCTGTGTGCTGTCCAGAGCATAGACTCTTTTTGGGTCTTTAGTCAGAAGCTCGCAGAGCGTAAGAATTTCGCTTTGGCTGGTCCGCGGGTCTTCCTGAATGTGCGCAAGAATCAGAGACCACATCTGGTGCTTTCTCCCTGTCAGCAGAAAGTTGAACCCTTTGTACGTTAGCCCTTCTTTGTTGATGACTCCAGTGCTCAGCATCAGCCGGCGAATTGTTTTGTTGGCATCGGGCTTATTTGAAATATTTTTGTACAGCATATTGCTATACACTCCGTCTGTTGTGTTTTTTTTCTTTGCTGATATTTGCTCCCTGCGTGAGCCTCCAATTGGCGCATACTCTGCTCTATCAGGTGAAATGCTGGTGTGTGCTATCTCGGTTTTCACCAAAATGCTCTCTTCCACCGGTTTTGTGCATGCAGCCAAGAAAGTGTCTCGCACCTCTTGGCGCAGCGTGTAGCACTCGGCCTCCACTGTAAGCACTCCCAGCAGAAAGAGTTTCTTCACCAAGTCTTCCTTTATCCTGCGAACTGATATGTTACTGGCCAGCAGAGAGAACAAAACTTTTTTCTCGTTCGAGTCCAGCAGCTTAAACAGGGACAGAATAACAGGGCCGCTGTACTTTTCTTTTTCCGGAAGCTCTTTCACTTTCTCCAAGAACTTTCCAACTGGGCACTCAGCCATGTAAATATTTTCACATTCGCATTTCTTAGAAATAGCAAACAGTTTCTTTTTTATTTTTTTGTTTTTCTGAGTATATATATTTTTGCAGAACATACTAGTGTGCCAGCTTCACAACGAGGCATAGAGCGGCACTGGCATTCTTTCTTCATTCTTTGAGCATCGGGAGTCAATTCGTGTGTGTGTGTTTCTGTTTCCAAAGGGCGCGCTGTAGGGCGCGCTGTGAGGAAATTAATCAAAAGGGACCGCGCGAGGGTGGAAAACACTGCAGCGTTACTTTGGCAGAAGATCAGTCCGCACATGTACCGTAGAAGAAATAAAGAGCAAAAGGAATGCTATTTTTGGAAAAACAAAAGATAAATTAGATAATTGACAGCAGTTTTTTATTCGTGGAGGTTCTTGCATATGAACGAAAGCAGCTTGTTCTTGGTTGTTTCAGAGGAGACAACCATGTGCTTTGCTAGCACCTTTCTGTTCAGCCCGAGGATCGCAGAGAAGTGCTCGTTGATGAAAGACCTCACCATTGCAGAGCTGTCCACTCTTTTTGGCGCAGCGTCTTCTTCTTCTTTGATTTGATCGATGGTTCCGTCGTTTAATAGGAAGAGAATGGACTCTTTGTTGAGGCCGTATGAAGTGAAGAAATTCTCGAAGACTTCTTTTGCCTGCGCTATCTTAGCCTCGTCTGATATATTTACTACAAATATTGCCAATGAGCAATTTTCAAAATAGAACTTCCAGAAGTTTACGTGCTTCTCTTCCTCTGATACGTCGTATACGTCCACTGCGTACCCTTTTCCATGGACTGTAAACTCCTGGTACATGTTGTTTGGAGGAGAGCTGTTCTTTTCCTTTCTAAGTATTTTTATTATGCTGTTCTTCCCTGAGCCAGGTGCTCCCAGGAAAACCACGCTTCTTTTCTTTCTGTTCAGACACTTTGAAATGAAATGGCCCATGAAAATTAAAAAATCAAACAAATTTATACTTAGAAAGGGCAAGCCACAATCTACAGGAAATTTCATGTGCGGAGATAGGCCAAGAAACAAGAAAGAAAACGCTTCCACAAAAACTACTCAAGATGGAAAGTGTTGTAACGGCTTCAAGCAGGATTGTAAAAATAAACTCAATATCAGTCTCTTAACTACTCTTAATCCCTTATACAGTGCGCAATTAAAGAATTAGGCTTTTTCTATGCTATCTATGCTCTCTCTCACTATCCAATAGCTCGCTGCACTTGCATTGAAACACTTTCTTCTTTGCCAGCAATAATAAATTTATAAGAGCGTGCGAATATTTTTTCATTAATGCTATTAAGTAGAGAATACGTAATAGCTGCCATCCGAACTCTCCAGCCAACATACGACTCACTCAGCGCCCTGGTAGAGTACATCGTGCTGTTTCCGATAGAGCTGCAGATAATTACCGATATTGTACTGCATGAAAGCAAAACCAGCAATGCATACACAAACTTGTTCATTCTCTATTTGCTCAATGAGCTTTTAAACAAACAGACAAAATCAGCAGACGTCTTTTCCCAAAACCCAAGCGCAAAAGAAACCATTAAACTTACGCTGAAAGAGGTTTTGAGAGTGGGCAAACAGAAAGTAGAGCAGATGAAAAACACCAGCACAAATGCATTCAAGAAGTCTGCGGAGCAGCTCTCCATCAAGTACGACGAAATAGAAAAGCTAGTTTTTAAGGATAAAGACACAAAAAGAGAAGAAATTGCAGAAAAGCCCGCAGAGAAAAGTGCGGATCCTGCAGAAACGTACCTGGACATCGAATACTTGGAGAGTTTGTGCAAGAAAAAAGATAAAAAAAAGATACTAAAGTACATTAAAGAGTTAAAGAAGATAGTATAATAAATATTAAATTAGTCAGAAGAACGTGGTGCAGCCTATCAAAAGCTGGCATTGATTGGTAAAGTTTTACGTTGTTGTATTTATTCGGCCATTCAAGCATTCTTATTAGAAAATTAGCAAATAGCATAGAATCTTCTAGTGCTGTGCAATGGCTAAATTAATATTTATATTTATATAGCACACTTATATTGAATTGAGTACAGTTTATGACTGCATACGCTTTTATTTCAGCACAATAACTACTAAAAAGTTTATAACTCTTATCTACTACTATTTATTGCATTGTTAAGTTGAGGATAGTCTATGAAACCATCTGAAAACAGGGCCAATGCACGGATTGAACTACTCTCTGTTTGCAGCTGTCTCTAGCTCCTTTAGATTCTCGCGCAGCGCAGCGAATCCTCTTTTCACGATCTCTTTTGGGGACTCTGAGATAGTCTCTATCTCAAATAGGAACGAGTCCTCTTTTGTCTGGATGTTCACTATGTCTGGGTGCTTTTTTAGCACATCCATGTTGACCAACAATTTGTCCTCATCTACCTGAGGGCCATTTTCATCCACTGAAAATCCGTCTCTGAAATACTTCTTTATCTCCTGTGCTCTGCTGGGGTCTTTCAGCTCTATCTGCTTGATGCATCTGTAGTAGCACACAGAAGTTGGCATCCACTTAGAGTGGTCTCTGCCTGTGCCCAGGATTGCATACAGTCTGCACTCTATTCTTTTATGCGGAGCCAGTCTGGTGATGAATACTTTGCTCTTCAGCTGTATGTTTTTGCTGGAGCCTATTTTTATGTCGTCTGAATACACCGAGAGTATTTTGTCCGTTTTATTTTCAACTGCCAACTCCATAAAAATCGAGTTTTCATCTGTTAGATCGGTGTCAGGATTGAAAATGTTGTTCTTTTCTATCGGGCTGATTATCGATGGGTGGGCTATGACTGGGATTAGCCCTATCCTGTGCGCCAGTATCTCATCCGCCATTACTGTCTCGTTTTCTCTTATATAAACCCAGTGTATGGCTACGGTCTGTGTGTCGGAGATAATAGTGCGGCGCAGTGCGTTAAGAACCGACGGGTCTATGTGGTTTATGCGGTATGAAAGAGTCTCTGAATTTTCTTCAATCTTGCGAACTTCTATTCTCTTTAAGTACTCATCCATAAAAATTTTAAAAGCACAGAACAAAAAAACGATTCTAGTTTCAAAAACAATTTACCATTTATTAGCTCAGAGACGAGAAAAATCAGCACAAAAGACACATAGGCATTTAAACAGTTTTACTATCTATTTTCCAAATACTCTTGTACGCTGTGCCTTACCATCACTGCACAGCCTCAGCTAGGCCCTCTAAGCGCTGAAAACATAGTAACTGGTCGAAACTGTTGAAATGCTGGAAAAGAATCTGCAGAGTGCCTATTTGATCTACAGAAACAGTGATGATGTGCAAGCCAATAGACTGGTTTACATTGCATATTTTTAATATAGAAGAAAACAATTTAAGCTATTTGCATGATTGTGTGCTAAGACTAGCTCAAATCTCATGATCTAGACACATATTTTGCATAAGTGCACGAGAACTACTTCCTAAGCAGAATGGACAACACTTCGTGGCAATAGATCAATGTCTCTCTTTCTATATACGGGTTGCCACCATAGTAGATGTGTTTTCCCTCTCCGTGGAAAACAAGAATCTTTGTGTCCACTATAAATACAATGACTCTGTTGCTCAGTCTGAGCACAGGGCCTCTTGCAAAATTTACATGTTTTATTACAAATGTGCTTTCATCTGACAGCCCATCAATAGCACTGTGCGCCTGTCTGAATAGCCCTTGTATAAAATAGTTGATCAGCAAAACTTTTTTTTCCAGTTTGCTGCTGATTGTTTTTGTGCTGTATTTCTCCTTTGTGATTATCTTCTGGGTTCCGTACACCTTATGTTCAAAATATTCGAATTCAAACACACTCTGTCCTCTTCTCACCGCATCCACAGCTGATTTGCGCAAAACCAAGGAAGTGCCATCATTGAACAGCACACCAACCGTGCCTGACACTAAAATGTATCCTAGCCCGTATTTATCTGTGTAGTCCACTGTGTAGCTAACAAAATCATTTGGACACGATGTGCCCACAGAAATAGCAGAGTTATTATTGTGATTGCCCAGCAGGGAAAGAACGGTCATATGGACAGATGATAGTAGCCCCAATTTACTCGGTGCACTGCGCAGTGCAGCACTGGGAGGAGTTCTTCTGTTCGCGCTGTTGTAGTTTTGGCTGGTTGCAGTGTACACTTCTGAAATGTTTTTGTCAATTGTTCCAGTCATTCGGCATGTAGGATCATTTCCGTTTCTATTTATGGTAGTTTGTGTGCTGCGAGCATTGCTGATAGTGCTGGTGCCGTTTTCTGTCTTTACACCTGCTGAAGCAGGAGCATACGATGGAATAGGCCTTTTAAGGGCGCCCACTGGCTCTGACCGTATAAAATCTGAGTTGTATATCTGCTCGAGCGTGTATCTTTTTTTGGGGTCGAGCTCTAGCAGCCCTGTAATGAGCTCTTTTGCTGCTCGGGATATCTTGCAGTCCTCTGGATACTCGTAGCTGTTTGTTTTTATTGATTTGTAGATCTCTTTTACATCGCTTTTTTGAAAAGGAGGCTTTCCCACTATCATGGTATACACTATGACGCCAACCGACCAAATGTCCACCTCAAAAGAGTGGCCGTCTTCTGAGCCAAACAGCACTTCAGGCGCTATGTAGTTTGGCGTTCCGCATATGGTCTTTTTTCTCTCTTCTCTGTCGATAACAGCTGCCAGGCCAAAATCGCCTACTTTTATGTTAAAGTCGTCGTCCAGGAACAAATTGGCGAGCTTCATGTCTCTGTGCACCACGGAGCACTCTCTGTGCAGGTAGTCGAGCGCTGAAATGATCTGCAGAAGAAAGATCCTTACGTGCTTTTCGTTTATCAGCTTGTTTCTTTTTAAAAAATCCATCATGCTCTTGTTGCGGCATATTTCCATGATCAAAAACACAAAATCCTTATCTTCAAAATACGTAAACAGCTTCACAATGTTTTTGTGGTTCACGGAGAGGTGTATTTTGATCTCAGAAAGCAGCTTTTGCTTGTTTTTTGCTCGGATAAGCTCTGTTTTCTTAATTATTTTTGCAGCCAACTCCACCTGCGTTTTCAAATTGCGGACGGAGAAGCACTGCGCAAATCCTCCGCGCCCGATCATTGCAGTAATTTCAAAGGAGTCATCTGTGTCTCTGTTGTAAATTATACTTCCAATTGGAAGAAAGGGAGGATTCTTCATGCAATAAAAATAATAATAAAATATTTATGGACAGGATTCTCTGTGAAAGCCCTCTAATAAACCGCAGAAAAGAGAGTGCACAGACTTTGTGCTGTAAGTATGAGCTTAAAAGTAGAACAGAAGATGCAGCACAACTGCTGTACCTTCTATCTCTGTGTTCAGTCAACTGTTGCCAATACATCAGTTATTAATTGCTGCACTAGCCGTATAAACATATCACTTATCTACTTCCATTGATTGCACACTCTCTCAGAGAACAACTAGAACGATAAACTCCACTGTTTTTCACTTTATTATTAAAACAAAACACTATTTTTTCTTTCTTTTGCACTGTGCACTGCAGAATATTTCATCCTTAAAATAAAATACTTTAATCTGCTCTTTTAATTTTCCGTATTCGATTTACATTCTGGGCCTGCGGACTTAAGAGTCTTTTTGTAGCTTAAAAAAATAACAGTTGCTATCTAGAACTGCAAAGTCTGTCTTACATAGCATATTTATTTTACCGTTTCTCTTCTCTCTGAAATAGCTGACATAGCATTTTAGCCTCTATCACTCACTCAGCTATTTCTCTATTTATATGTCCATTGCTGTTCGCTAGCAATGCATACTCTTCTGCTCTTTGCGCCCTTTCAATTCTTCTATCTTCTTCTACTCTTTCTTTCTCTTTTTCTCTTTGGGCGTGTGCTCTACTTGTGCGCTGGCAGGTGGTCTCTCCAGCAAGTGTGCTAGAAACTTTGCTGAAATGTATACAGCAACAATTCCAATGGGCACACAGTAAAGCCCAAACGAGTGGCTGCTTGTCCCTCCTATCTCGCTCATAAATTATTTAAATATTAAATAATTATTTAATCCCACATTATTAATGCTCAAATGGCTTTGTAAATATCGCTCATCTTCTCGTAAAATATGTAAAAAGAAAAAACCATTTGCACACTAGGAGATAGAAGAGTGCACTGCTGCAGGAGTTAACATAGAAAGTATTTATTTAATTGCCACTGCTATGCACTATTCTAAGGAAGTATTTAGATCTTAGATGCTTTTGAAGGCGTTTTTTGGTTTAGTATGTCGTGTATGTCTTTGATCAGCTTTCTTTTGTTCTCTGTGTTCACTGTAAAACATCCTCCTGTTGTGCTGAACAGCCTCTCCACCTCTTCTGGCTTGGCTGTCTTTGGGAGAGACTGTGCGCACACTTCATACGAGTGCTTGGGGTGCTGTTTTGTTCCTATGGTGTACTCAATGTTTAGCTGCTTCAGTGCTTTGAGGATGCTCTGGAAAGTAGCTGGAGTGTTGTTTTCAATCAGCGGAACTTTTCTTCCCTGCGATCTTTTTATCGTTGTGTTGAAGTAGATCGGGTACAGTCTTACTTCTGTCATACTCTGTGAGCGGATGAAAAGTAAAAATAAATTTATAGAATCAACAGATGTACGCAATTATTGTTTTGCAACTGCACAGCATTTTCATTTCTGAAAATATTTAAAGTGTTCTTAAAACAGTTATTGTAAACAGTAGCACAGAGTGAAGTGTTTTTATTTAGCTGCATTGAGGTAGATTACAGCGTAAAGACTTCTCAGATTAGATAAGTTTGCTGATTTATTGATGGGAAAGAGCCAGAAAAGAGGAAGAAGGGCTGCAGAGCATTTGGTCTATTGGGCACATACAACACACACCGGTCTTTCATTTTGATTCTTTCTCTTCTCAAACATTGTTTTGCATTTTTCTTATTTGAGTTTGTTTGCTCATTGTTTTACGTATGGAATTCCACGAGATTTTCAAGAAGACAAAGCCTGAGCCTGTGTCCTACGGAACTGCAGGGTACAGAACAGAGCACACAATCATCAAAGACATAGTGAGAAGAGCATATCTCTTCTGTCTTATCAGGTCAGCCTCTGTGAACAGACCAGTGGGCTTAGTGCTGACAGCATCGCACAATCCATCCTGTGATAACGGTATCAAGTACATAGACTTTACGGGAAATATGCTGAGCGAAGAGAATGAAGAGCTGAGCGATAGAATAGTGAACGGCTCAATTGAGTCTCTTCTGGAAGAGTACAAACCGTACGCCAACAAAAAAAGTACGGTTGTAATTTCTCGAGACACAAG